GTCCCTCGACTGACCGACCCGGCAGATTTAGCCGAACCCAACAAGGCACCTTACTTTTACTTTTTGATTATCACCATCGAGGACCAATACAAAGATGGTCTGCGGCTGAATGGTAGTGTTATTCCCGGACTTTTGTGGCACTCTGTACCTGCCGTCCCAGGGAAGCCCAGCATGGTGGCCGTGTCCTTTGAAATTCAACAGAACGACATGAGATATACACTAACGAATGTCAACCCGACCGCTATGTTCAGTGTCCTTCTGTACGGGGCTGGGGACAGGGAGAGTTACGAGTACACCCTAGGATTTAACCTTAATGTGCTGAACCCGGTGAGTAAAGGACACTGGGTTTTTGTCCATGACACGTTTTTTTTTTTTTGTTTTTTTTTTTTTTTTCAAAAAATGTCAATTTTTTATTAAATTGCTAAAAGACAAAGTGTGCTATAGAACTATTTACGTCGAACTAAAGCCAGTTTTCTAATAGATGACTATTATACGAAAAGACATGCTATGTTTAAAGAAGTAAATTTCATTATTTATAAAGAAAGAAAAATCATAAGTCAAGATGACGTCCCGAAATTTAAATATAAGCTAGAAATCACATTATATTTTACACCGACAGAACTGAATTGAGAAAAATATCTGGAAAACGCAAGACTGCAGTGTTTTTGAATAATTCTACATGTGACGTAGATCTATATCTAGCAAAAAGATAAAGGTGTCGAAAATTTTATTAATGGGCCCTAACCGTGGAGCCTCACGTCCTTTTGCCTACACATGAAGTCCAGTAAAAAAGGATGCCAACATCGGCAGGCCCTATACCAAATCTAAAAAAAATGGCAGAATGTTTCATGAAGACCAACAGCATTATTTCTTTAGTTGTAGACTTATTTCTATAAATTTCCTTGATTTTATGTGAATAAACTAATATTGTATTCATTCTGTCTTTTTAGCCTGCTCCAGAGGGTAAGTTTGCGTTATGCCAGTAATTTATCTTGCTACTTTTTAATCAACTTATCTTTATAAAGACATATACTATGTCAATATTCCTTAGCACGCATATTTTTAAAAACTTATATGAAAACTTTTGTCTTAAAACATACTTTGAAACCAAGGAGCTCCCAATTATTTGAAACGGTGTTCATAAGTAAAACAGCAAACTCAGCAAACAAGGTTTGAGGGGATACGCGCATGCGTGTCTTGTGACCTCTTTCTCACGGTCGTCTCTCGCACCATTCACAATAATGTGTGGCTTGCAGTACTTAGAAAGTTGTAGGGTGTAGCGTTGAAGGCGAGATTTACACAGAAAGAGAGGTCATCTATAGGTCTGAGTACATATTGTATATGTTAGCCCAGTTGGCTGCCAAAGGGAAAATGAGGAAGAAGAAATGGCTCGTGCAGCGGCGGCTGGTAGTACTACCCGTAGTACTACTACTGACCACTACTACTACGAGTAGTACTACTATTAATGTTGCTATAGTCAGCTGGCTAGTACTAGCCGGTGACTAGTGGTAGTACTGGTACTGTGGTATTACTGCTACTGGCGTTCACTTATGATGTAGTTACTATTGCACAAAATAGTAGGTTAAAGATAATAGTATGTTTTTATAATATCTGCATTTTTTAAATAATGTTGTCATGTTGATTTATAATAATAATAGGGGTTTTGTACCACACTGTCTTATCTTACTTCTATGATATAAATTTAGGATATTTTTTGCAAGTTTAGATTTCAGCCCATTGTAATATATAATACATTATGCAGGCCCGTAGCTAGGGGGGGTTCGGGGGGTTCGAAAGAACCCCCCTTTTTGCTGGAAAAAGGTCCACTCTGGGTAAAATTTGACCTATGTACATGGGGATTATATGGTAAAAGGTCCACTTTTTCAGAAAAAGAACCCCCCCTTTGAAATTGCTGGCTACGGGCCTGTTATGATTTGCCTCAGTTTTTGGCCTTACATGCTATAGTACCCTTACAGCAGGTAAGGCTGAACCCCGGTTAGTGTTTCAAACTTATAAGTGTCTTAAATCTTAAATATCCACATCCTGACAAAACTAGTGTTTATAAAGGACCATTCCCACAGATATTTGGATCGATCTATCTCCCTGGGGAGTCTCACTAAATTATTATCAAACTAACTGGCTTTAACGTTTGTCACGCCTAGTAAAGCTGTTAGGGGGTAATTATCTTTACCCCTAGCTGATTTGTTAGGCATGACAGACATTTAAGCCTCTTGAGCTGATAGCAATTTAGCGTGAACCCCTAGGGAATTAGGTTGAACCCAGTCTAACACTAGGCAGGGTGAGGTCTTACCAGTGGTAGGGGTACTGAGGAAGCATGTAAGACCATTAACTGAGGCAAAATAAGACAGAGGGCAATAACCACCAATGATGTCAACATCCAGTTGATGACCCCTGTAAATTAAAGGTTATCATTTTATTCATTTTCAGTCTCCAAATATAGTAACATTTTTATATTGCCCTTGGACTAGTCATAATTGTCAATTACCTACTATTTTTTAGTGTGCAGTAGTCAAGCAGTTGATCGCCAATGCATTATCAGTGGCAATAACTTTTGTCAAGGTATGATATCCAAATAATTTCAGAAAATTGTCTTGCCAATTAATATACAAGTCTATATGTAATAAAAAATAAGTAATTCCTTATGTTTAGTAGTACTTACCATCATTTACATATGACAACCAATTTTTTAAATGACCGCCACTGCTTTTTAAAGTTAGTAGGCTTTTTTCACCCCATATGAAAAAAATGATAATAACAATAAAATCAGGTGCACCTTAACCTGGTCTCTACTATTCCAGGCACACCCTTTGACAATCAGGGTTATGGTTTTGTGCTGATGTTCAATGAGCACTACACTCGGGTGGGAAACCCATACAATCCTTTCCTGGTCATTACTAATGCTGAAACAGAAAATGTACAGGTAGGATGAAAAGTTATGGACAAAACATGGTATGCTTTTCTTCTAAATTATGAATTTAATATGCCCCATACTTCCCATTTGAATTTTTTTCAAATTGCAGAAAAGAGACGAAAACTAAAATATAGCCCTCTTGGCTCAAACAGTGGCCATTCTACACGTAAAAAGTTAATCAAATTGCATTTAGGTAATTGTCCTAATTATAGATCTTGCAACTTGAAACCTCTTTTTCCTTATTCTGGATGACACAGTTTCACTGTATAGTATTGAGCTATAAATGTGTGTATATACTCAACTAATAAACCCCAGCCTAACCAATTTAAAAATTACCTTTAGGTGAATGTGACAACTCCACGCTGGAGCAGCCCAAGTGTAAATGAGCAATTCACGTTGGCCACTGGTCAGTATCGTACCGTGAGTATTCCACAAGAGCTCCGCATGCAGCAGTCAAATCTCTCCACCAAGGCCATCTTGGTCCAGTCAAGCGGGGAGGTAGTTGTCCAGGGTGTGAATTCTGAAGAACGCTCTACAGGCATGTTTCTTGCTCTTCCAATTGATGCCGTTGGCAGTGAGTATTATGCAGTGTGTTACAGCCCTGCTTTCCTTCATTGCCAGTTTGGTATTGCTGCAATACAGGATGGAACAGAGGTCTCGATATCTTTACCTTCTCCACTTCCTTCCGGTCAAATTGTGCAGGTGACTTTTCAGGGCACAACATACTATAGTGGACAAACAATCCGCCTGACCCTCAGTGCCTATGACACTGTTCAAATACAGGCTGCTCATGACCTGACTGGCTCTCATGTCGTAACCAACAAACCTGTGAGCTTCTTCAGTGGGAACAGGCATACAAACATAGACCAAGGGCTAGGTGGACAAACAAAAGATCACACTGTAGAAATGCTCCCACCAGTATCTGCCTGGGGTAAAGAGTTCATCACTTTCCAAATTCCAGACAGGACAGTATTTAATCCGGGGGACAATTTCAGAGCTGTGGTTCCCAGATTCAGTCAAACACCACAACTAAACCTGACAATGGGCTCCAACAACATATACCCAGCAGTGCCCAATGGGTTTTCATATGCCCAGTTCCTGGTTGGCCAAGGAAGCCAAAACACTTATGCCTACCTGTCATCAAACACTCCAGTAATGTTGGCTGAATTTATTGTCAGTATGATAGCTACCAATGAGCTAGCGGATCCTTCTATGATCTATCTGCCACCTATTTCATTGTACAGGAATGAATACACATTCACTGCCCTGGAGAGATCTCTCAGCACAAACAAGGTTTTTGTCAACACAATTATTATTGTCAGTCCTTTGTCGGGTCGTGGTGACATAACATTGGACGGGAATGCCTTACCAGCAATAACATGGACAAATGTTGATGCAGGGGGTGTCATGTACAGTGCGGGCTTCTTTACCATCAGTGCCGGCTTTCACAAACTGAGTCATCCCAAAGTGAACCATTATTTTGGAGCAGTGCTGTATGGAAATGTTCTGAATGATACAGTAGCCCCAGAATCCTATGCAACTGCTATTGGCATGAGGCTGTCCAGGGTTAATGAAGTAAGTCTACATCCTGAGAAGTACAAATAATATTGCCTTGTTTCATTGTAAGGTACATGTGAAACAGCTTGTCCAGATTTTTCTTTTTAATATAATGACAATATAACTAGGTATCTATAATTATAATTTGGATTATTTCTTCTATACATTGCCTTGTCCTAGAGTAAGTGAAATGGCACCTACATTATTCAATTTTATATTATTTGTAGCCTTGTGGATGCAATGTCACTGCAACAGCCCAGTTCCAAGCGGATGGCATAGACAATGATTGTGATGGGCGGGTTGATGAGGAAGACTGCAGTAATGCAAATACAGGTTTGTTATTTCATTGATTTGAATTCATGCATATTTTATTATTATAACCCTGCTTTTCTTAAATACTATTAGGAATTTTGATAGCCTCACATGAGACTTGTGTGATTTTTACCAATTTATTAAATTTTGTTTGGAATGAACTTCTTGAATCAATATGGGTGATCTATACTTCGAAGCATGTTACAGTATGAGCCTTTTTCTTTGTCAGATGAAGATGGTGATGGAAAACAGAATGAGGATTGTGCCACACCCACAAAAGGTATGGGAGTCTTTCTTTTTTAACCACTACATCTAGGGATCCCTTGGTGTGTGTGTGTGTGTGTGTGTGTGTGTAGAGTGAGCATTTCATACCCCCCCACCTCCTAAAAATAAAAAAGGCAGAACATCCTGTTGCACAACTTTATTTTGTCATTTTAAGTTCACATATAGCAAAAGTATAGCATCATAATAACCTAAAATGAAATATAATCCAAAATGTGTTTTCAACAACCTAGAATTAATGGATGTTTTGGTTGCATTCCATAATTATTCATTTTCAAAAACAATCTACCTAATGTCAACTTTTTCACATGCCCCAAAAAGACAAAAAAAAAACTTAATGTTCTTTGAACAACAGTCACATATTTTGCTGTATATATATTAAGTGGATGGCCAGTGGTCTCAGTGGTCAAACTGGGGCACCTGCTCAGTGACCTGTGGGGGTGGCAGCAGGAGTAGGACTAGGTCCTGTAGTGATCCAGCCCCAGCATTTGGTGGCAGCCCATGTCCAGGATCACCTCCAGACACACAGACTGATACAGAATCCTGCAATAGTAATGCCTGTCCAGGTAATATATATCCTCATAGCTCGAGATATTTTCCGTAAAAATGTTATACAAAGTGAATTCAATAAAGTAGAATAATTTTAATTATTGGTTAACTGTATATCATAATGGAATTATGGTAGAACTAACCAGTAGCTTATTAAACTGATATATGCATGATTATATGTACCTTTACTATTTTTGTTCGAAACAAGATTGTGGACATTTTTTGTTGTTGTTGTTGTTGTTTTACTGGCTGCTGTAGAACTGAATGATATTTTTGTCTGTTGCCTCAAGTGAATGGGAACTGGGGAGCGTGGCAAGCATGGAGTGCTTGCAGTGTTACCTGTGGATCTGGCACCAGGTCGCGCGGTCGCAGTTGTGATAGTCCTCCACCACAAAATGGTGGTAGTTCTTGTGTAGGCAGCCCCACAGAGAATGAGAATTGCAACGTTACATGTGCAAGTAATGGCAGATTAAATTTTTTGCCTTCTGTTTTTCAAAGTTTAACATCCGGTATTTTTTTAGCCTTCTGTGGTACATTTATTTCATGCAAATAATGTTTGTTCATTACTCAAAGCAAATTGTGAGTTTTTTTAAATCAGATTATGAAAATGACTTTTGTGGATGCTCAAGAACCTTCATACTGGCGTTAATACTACAAAATTGATTTTTCCTGCATCCAGTTGATGGAAATTGGTCTGAGTGGGGCCAATGGTCATCTTGCTCTAAGACATGTGGTAGAGGAAAAAGTACAAGAACACGCACTTGTACAAACCCACCTCCATCTGGTGGGGGTGCCAGCTGCATTGGAGCAGACGTGGCAGAACGTGAATGCAATATATTTGACTGTCCAGGTACCCTCTGTGAAATTGCTTTGTCTGGATCTCAATGGTTGGCTTTTAGCTAGACAGGTTGTTGCTTTCTGTGGCTTAATTTGGCTCTTTGGAGATGTAGTGCCTTAAACCAAGCTTGATACTACCCAAAAGGATTCAGCATTAAAACTGGAAGCACTTTTTAACTCGTCACTTGATGTACTTTTTGTTTTCCTTTTTAAAACTTGACATTGAATGTAATACAATTTGTACACTTGTAACCTTTGTATTACATGTCAAGCCTTTTTACACCTGGCGTACTACCCTTTACACCTGGCATATTACCTTTTTACACCTGGCGTAATATCTTTTCACACCTGGCAAACTACCTGTTTACACCTGGGATACTATCATATTTTCTTACCTGACATACATATTTTTACACCTGGCATTACTATTCTTTTTAGACTATGTTTATTTCCCTTTTTCCCAGGGTATATCTGATCACTTTACATGTGACGCACAACTTTGGCTAAAAATTTTGAGTTCTTTTTTTCAGTATCAATGATGCATATTTCATTCTGCTTGTGTCATGATGTACATTTTATGTTTATGAATATGTCTTTGTGCAAGAATGCAAGCCTTTTTGGACCATACTTGTCAAAACAGAATATAAAAAGTCACATAGTTAAACAGTTTTTTCAATTAGCAATTTGATGGTGCACTTGGTTATTAATAAATATTTGGATGGTGTCAGGTAATTAACTGAAGCTTATAGCATCATCACCAAAAAATAACTCTTAAATTTCACTGCAATTTCCTGGTAAAAATATCACTGCCCAGCAGTGTAGGTTGCAAGTTACCTGTCTTATTTTTATCTTGAAGACAACTGATATGCAAACTAGTTTGTTATAACATCTGAGTGGTGTTTTACTTTACTCGCACCCTACCTGCTTTGACCTTCCTGCTCTTTTAGATTTTTCTTTTTTTTTTTTTTGTCACGAGTTTTCTATGCTTCTTAAGGGTTGCCAACACTATAGTTATGAAAGTAAATAGATTTCTTTTTATATCTTTTTAAAGACGAGTGTACACATTGAATATGAGACATTTACTCAGATATAAGTTTAATTTTCTCAGCAATTTTCCAAGGGTAACAATATCCAGGAAACTGACAATATTATTAGTAGTAAATCAGTTTTTGAGTTCTAAGTTTCCAATTTTTGAGTCAAGCTTGTAATGGAGATGGAAACTAGAAAATTTCACTAGTAACTGTGAAAGTTTTTAATTAAGTGCTTGAAATTTTGTTTAAATTGCCATGTTTAATTTGTTTGTTAATTTTTGTTTTAGTAGATTGCATACTAGATTTCTATACATTTTGATGATTAAGTTGGCAACCCTGGAGAATTAAATTGTGCAATTAATTAGAAATTAGAAAAAATCAACTGTAATGGTACAATTAATAGAAAGTTCTAGAAAACCTGTATTCAGCATTTGAAATCAGTACTTGTCAATGATTACTTCTGGATATAATCGTTCACATTGTTTCATAATTTATCTTTTATAAAAAAACTAACTTAATTTGGTTTGGACCAAATAAGCATTGGTTTTCTTTAATCTGAAGTTGAGGTTGTTTTTAACTAGTGGTAAATGGAGCATAACCATAAACCAATGTTTCAGTTAATGGCAATTGGGCTCCCTGGTCTGCCTGGTCTGACTGTTCTCAGACTTGTGGGACAGGAAATAGACTGAGAACCAGGACTTGCACTAACCCACCACCTTCCAACAATGGGCAAACATGCCCTGGAGACAATTTAGAAAGCCAGAATTGTATACTCCGAACCTGTCCAGGTAATTTGGTAGACAGTTAGCTACATATGCAGAACCTGAAAACTTGCCTATCACTGTCCCAAGCCTGCAAATGTCCAGCCCTCGTTACACTTTTTCTGATCTTGGACAAATTTGTCCAAGTTCTGATAAGGTGCATTGTTCACTCCCAGTTGTTTTACCCCAGTGTATATGTATATGGTAATGGTATATAGTACAAACAGGTTCCTTGGAACAATTTAATTTAATTTAAAGTGAAAGTTCAAACTGTCAGTCTTTTTTGTCACAGGGTGAGTGTGAACATGCACCTTTCCTTCCCACCAACACTTTTCCTAAACATTTGTCTCAGACTTATGAGTTGATTTGGTCTACTTGACTAACATGATAAACATTAAGACAAAGGCTGCGTTCACGTGAAAAATCTATTTTCAAAAAATCTATTTGCAGTATCTTGTGATCACGGTCTGTGCCTTGAATACCCCGTGGCATAAGTACTGCTAGCGCGAGCGAGTTACTTCCAAAGCTGTAATTAATTCTTGGCACTGCCAGTAATTACGCGGCAGGGTATTCAGGGCACAGACCGTGATCACAAGATACTGCAAATAGATTTTTAGATTTTTAGAAAATAGATTTTTCATGTGAATGGTCCCAAACAGTGCCATGTAAAAAAAAAAAAGATGGCATATCAGCAGTGAGTATACTCATCACCTGTGTATGCTCAGGAAAAAGCTGGGAAGGTTACTTGGGCACTGGCATGTTCAGCTGTGAGTAATCATGGACGTGGACAGGGAAAGTGGAGTTGGTTTAGGAGACGATGTATTGAAATGACCTATGAATTTTTCCCAAATGTGTAGAAATACATAGCAGTGATCAAGGGAAGTATAATAGCTGTAAGTCCAATTCTGAGGGTTTAAAGCTGAAACACATATCATACCAGTGTACCACATATTGTATTTTTTTTTTATGGTTTTTAGTTGATGGAAACTGGGGAGGTTGGACACCATGGAGTAACTGTAGCAGGACATGTGGGGGAGGCGTAAGGTTCAAATCACGTGAGTGTAATAACCCTCCGCCTTCCAACGGTGGGGTGTCCTGTCCTGGATCCAGTAATCTGACAGAGACGTGCAACCCACAGGGCTGCCCTGGTAAGTGACTGTATCTGTAGTACTTCTTGATAAATATATTGGAATAGTTAAATGGATATGAAATAGTTATACCAGCATGTGCACAAATGATATGATTTAGTGGTCAAATAATCATATTACCTTGATTAAACTTTTAAGCATTGAAATGTGTCATTCTAATTCAAGACTGTATTTTTTGTAACAAAAGTACTAATTTTTTGTGAAATATGATGTATTGATTTTTACTAAGATTATAATAACTAGCCAGGAACAGATGGTTTAAACCTAGCTACACTGATTTTTTTAACTGTAACTGGAAATAAATTACCACAGAAGAGTAAGAATGCATGGTGGCCATTTTTTTCACCAATGATATAGATGTATTTTAAAAACATTGCACATTACTAAGCCTACTAGTACTAAAGTTCACTGACCTGTTATGACTAAGCTGGGTCAGATTTTTGGACTCTCTATGCCAGACAGCAGACAATGAGCAACCTGGGTAAAAGAAACCGTATACCTGGTATACAGGACATATTATAAGGAGTTGCCACGTGTTTGGTTTATATCCATCATATCCCTCTGGGGATTTTGCCCATTTTTTCCATATGTTTATCCATAGTCAATGGTGGGTTATCAAATTGGAGTTCATGGGGCACCTGTAATGTCACCTGTGGTGGAGGCTCCCAGTCAAGAACCAGGACATGTACCAATCCAGTACCACAAAATGGAGGTGCTGATTGTGTGGGAATCAGACTGGAGCTACAACAGTGTAATACTCAGGGTTGTCCAGGTGAATTATATGTTCTTTTTGGTGAGATTTTATTCATATGCAGTGCCATTAATGTTGTTTTATTCATGATGTATTAATTAAAGTATGCCATCTTGTATATTTAAATGTGAAAAAGTCTGCAACTATAACTGATGTTATGGTATACAGCTGGTTGAATTTTAAGAGCTATTTTCCAAAATCCCTTATATTTCAGTGAATGGAGGCTACAGTCAGTGGAGCAGTTGGGGTACTTGTTCTTCTACATGTGGAGGTGGCTCTCAGACAAGAACAAGAACTTGCACAAACCCTACTCCAGCTTTTAATGGCAATGACTGTTCTGGTCTTGGACCTAACTCAGAAACACAGCAGTGCAACACACAGGGATGTCCAGGTGAGACAGCACCTTTACAAAAATTATTTCAGGACAAGATTCAAGTACAATTTTTTTATTTTCTTGTATTAAAAGGGAAATTGTATACAAAAAATCTAGCAGATCTGTATGATAACATATTTTATTCATTAATAGAGCATATCATTACACATTTCACTTGTAGTTAATGGAGGATTAACGACTTGGAGTTCATGGGCCACCTGTAATGTCACCTGTGGTGGAGGCTCCCAGTCAAGAACCAGGACATGTACCAATCCAGTACCACAAAACGGAGGTGCTGATTGTGTGGGAGACAGACTGGAGTTACAACAGTGTAATACCCAGGGTTGTCCAGGTAAGATGCTCCTGTAATTCCACTCAGGAAAAATCTTCAATTCATTTCAGTATCCGTAAGATGCTGATTCCATTGAGGGTCATTGTACTACAAAATATTATGTATTCCTCGAGTCAAGTTAAAGTTTTTTTCTACCTTTTTTTTACTGAAGTTTTGAAATATAGGGTCTCCCATGGGCTATTCAAGACAGAAAGGACAACTGTGAATGAGAGAATGACATTTGGGGGCAGGGAGAGGGCCCTTACATGACCTCTGTGTCTTAGCCAAACTTTTTATAATATGCAATTGTTTTTTAGTGAATGGCAACTACACCGAATGGAGCAATTGGAGTGCCTGCAGTAGAACATGTGGAAATGGCCAACAAACTAGAAATAGGAGTTGTACAAACCCAGCTCCTGCAAATGGTGGAGATGATTGCTCCACTATTGGAGCTTTTGAGGAACTAAGACAGTGTATTCTACAGAACTGCCCTGGTGAGAATAAATTCTGTTTTATGGATAAATGGGAGTAAATGGTTGAGTTTTATGATCAAATATACAGCAAGCAATGGGAAACTGAGGGTTGTTGACAATCACTCTCCCATCGAACATTGCTGTCACAGAGTGGGTCTGTTTAGTAGAGGTAGGGTGAAGTAGAAAATTGAGCATAATTTATGCACAGTACAGGGGTGGATCCAGAAATATTTTCTGACAGGCTTCCAAATTATCTTTATTGATCCATCCTCCATTTCTGACAGTCTTCGAACAGAAAAAATTAGATACCATCAGTGTAAACTTGAAAAACTGACTGTCTTCCAGAAGACCCTAAATCTGCCCCTGCAGTGGTGATATCAAAAGTGATGATATAAGTTTGTTTTGCTTATTTGATTGTATATTCAATGCACCATGAAATTGTAAAATTTTAGTACTCTCAATTCATTTGAAATTAATTATCTATGTATCTGATTCTAGTTGATGGTGGCTATTCAGACTGGAGTCTTTGGAGTACCTGTACAGTCACATGTGGTGGTGGTCAGCAGACCAGGAAGAGGACATGTACCAATCCAGCTCCTCAGTTTGGAGGTGCCTTTTGCTCTGGACCCACATCAGAATCTCAGACATGTAACAGTCAGCAATGTCCAGGTAACACGAATGTGGCACATTGCTGTTGGCTGTGGAGCTGTCTGTTGGTGCCCTGTTCAAGGCTCCTGTCAGCCTTTTGACCCCTCCTGTTGTTCTGCTTGCTTGGCAAAGAGTCTAATTTGACAGTGTTTTTGAGTGACATTGCTTTTTATATTCACCTGCAGTTATTGATTGAACAAACAGTGGGTGTGGGTGTGAAATGCATGGATTTAAATGAACATTCAAGCTTTGACAAGTTATTGGTTTTTAGCTTAATTTATTTGCTTGCATGATTAAGTTGTGAAATGCTTATTAAGTTTTTTATTTCAGATATTTTAAGTTGGCCTGGTTGAGAATGTGCATTAAATCTGAATGCTACTAAGCAATTTACTTACATACATCACTTTGTGTGGTCAGTGTTGCACAGCTGAATACTAAACTTTAACACTGAACATCAGGGCGTATTGAGTTTACAGTACTAAATAAATATTTTGGGTCAATGACAACAACTTTCAGTAAATGGTGGATATAGCAGTTGGAGCAGCTGGAGTGCTTGCATAGGTGGTACCCAGCAGAGGAGCAGGACCTGCACAAACCCCTCACCTGCCTTTGGAGGCAATGACTGTGCCCTTTTGGGATCCACAACAGAGATACAGCAGTGCACTTTGGTAACATGTCCAGGTATGGGGTCTGTTCTTAGTCAGGTGAAGTGTTTATCATTTTTTATTATTAAGCTTAAGACTGTTGCCACTCTACCACCTAGTATTTCTTTCAAGCTGATCTATAAATTGGTTAACTAAATAAATCATTATCTTTTCAGCTCCTCACACTGCAGGTACAGACTTCACAGTGATGTTCATAGAGAACTATGTTAATGATCTGTATGATCCTTACATGACAGCCAAAATGACATTGTATGTCACACAGGCAGACAACAGCAAAGCACTGACTTTCACTGTTTATTATTTTGAATCATTCCTTCTGAAAAACCTGACATATGTAATTCCTGCTGGAGCCAAAGAGTCAACACCTGTCGAACTGCCCAGTGTATTGGAGATACAGTCAAGTGGTCTTGTCTTGAATCGAGGTGTACGTGTGCTGACCTCTGAACCAGTTTTCCTGACTGCAACAAATAGAGAAGGGTTTTCTGCAGATGGTTTTGTGGCAATACCCACAAAGTACCTTGGTGAACAGTACTATACTGTGGCCTATGCACCCCCAACTTACGCTACACAACTGGGTGTGGCTGCTGTAGAAGATGGAACCGTCGTCCAGGTCACTGTTGCCAGAGCTGCCAATACCACATACAATGGGGTCTCCTATCAGGGTGGGCAGACATTTAGCCTGACTTTGAATGCATTCCAAACCATTCAGCTAGAATCCATATTGGATCTGACAGGAACATATATTAATTCTAGCAAACCTGTGGCAGTTTTCAGTGGGAATAAGAGAACCATTGTTGGGAATGACACTGCTTCCAGAGATCACCTGGTGGAGCAGTTGCCTCCAATACAGTATTGGGGTACAGAGTTTGTCACAGTGCCGACTCCCAATCGTACAAGTGGTGATGTATTTAAAGTGGTTGCCAGCAAGCCTGACACAAACATTACCATAACTGTGGCCAGTGGACAAATGAAATACTACTTACGCCATGCTGGTGATCATGTTCAAACCATCCTTGGATCTGGTTCTCATTCCCATTCTATGATAACTGCAGATCAACCAGTAATGTTATCACATTTTATTCACAGCCACACTGGCAATGATCCATCCAAAGAACTAGGTGATCCATCACTCTTAATCCTGCCCCCAGTAGCTCAGTATGGCAATGGCTTTTCTTTTGTAACACCACCATTCCATAACATGTCTGATCCCAATGATCCCAACCAACGGCCATACAGCTATTTCTTGAGTATTACCGTTGAAGACCAGTATAAAGATGGCATGAGGATTGATGGTAATGTTATTTCTGGAGTCACTTGGCACCCAGTTCCATCTGTACCAGGAAAACCTGACATGGTTGCTACAAGCTTTGAGATTGCTCAGACCAGTCAAAGACATGTTTTATACAATGAAAACTGCAATGTATCATTCTTACCACTTCTGTATGGGGCAGGAGACAGGGAGAGCTATGGCTTTGCACTGGGGATGAATCTCAACATTTTAAATCCAGTGAGTAGAAGGAAATTAATTTTCCGTGCTTCTAGAATTTTTAAATTGTGCAGAATGTTGGTATAATGGTTACAGTATTGTAAATTTTTTATTAAGAGATATGTACTTATACTTTTTGCTTTGTTTTGTTTTTCCACTTACAATCTATTAATAAGTTCTCTTTTATCTTTTCTAGCTGCCATCTGATGGTAAGTGTGATCTTTTAAAGAAATGTACAACAATTTAACCTAATTAATATTTGTATACCATGAACACATGAAAACTGTATTACATTGACAAATTCTGTTTTGAATAGCTTATAGATATATTAACCAAAGTAAAGTAGATATAATCCAAGACTTAGAGAATGTATACATAATAATCATTTAGAATTTAGTTGCCTATGTGCAAAGTTATAACATGCTTAGTGTTTCATCATGTGTCATCTTCTTTATTTTTTTTCAGCGTGCACCCCGCAGACTCAAGATCAAACCTGTCTTGTCAATAATGTGAACTTTTGTCAAGGTAATGGAAAATCACTATGTTAATTGGTCCTTTTTAAATTTTTCATGAAGAATTCCATTTGCAGTTTATTTTCATCCCTTTAAAATATATATACATAAGCAAATACAAAACAAACAATTTGAAATGTAGGTTGTGATGCTGTTATTTTTACAGATATCTTTGGTACTTACATGTCTGTATGTTTGTGAGCTTTGCTGTCTAAATATAGACACCTTTCAGTCTGAATATCCCCTGACCAATAACTAGATGTATGATATTCCAGGTTACCCTCTGGATAGCCAGGGTACAGGCTTTGTGCTGATGTTTAATGAGCACCAAACCAACATGGGACCAAGTCAGTATGATCCAGCCATTTATGCAACTAATCTTGAAAATTATGACATTCAGGTAAGTTTTTATTATTATTATTGAAATTTTAGCATCATATTTGTTTTCATTAATAAAGTATAATATTTGGTCAATATTAAAATATTGTAATAAGCTTTATTCTTTGTATTAAAAATATCACGTTGAAATGTCTTTTTTCTGTGTGTTGCCCTATTTTAAGCCACATGTAGTAAATGAAAAATCTGGACACCAATATGATAAAAATGTATTGTTTTGCATGTTGCTTTTAAACAAAAGCTTTATGAAAATACGTACTTTCGTTTTTTAGCTTAATGTTATGTCCCCAAGATGGAGCAGTCCTGCAACCTCCCAACAGTTTGTATTAGCACCAGGAGAGAGTCGAAAAGTAACAATCCCTAAAGAACTGAGAATGAATGGAACTTCCAAGTCAACTAAGGCCATCTATGTTAGAGCTACTGATGAAGTTAGTCTCCAGGGTGTGAACACAGAGCAGCAGTCTACAGGCATGTTCCTGGCTCTTCCCATTGATGCTGTTGGTAGTGAGTACTATGCTGTGTGCTATAGTCCTGCCACAGACTGTCAGTTTGGAATTGCTGCTATTCACAATGGAACACAAGTCACCATTACTTTGCCATTATCAGTTTCTGGACACTTTGTTGAAGTCGTTTTGGATGGAAGAACATATTACGGTGGACAGACTATTTCTTTGGACCTCAATGCATATGACACAGTTCAGATTCAGGCTGCTAATGATTTGACAGGATCACGTGTGGTTGGATCAAAACCTTTCAGTTTCTTCAGTGGTAACAGGGATACCATTATAGACCAGGGCACCAATTCTAAGGTTAAAGACCATGTCACTGAAATGTTGCCACCTGTATCAACATGGGGCAAAGACTTCTTCACCTTCCAGACTCCCCTCAGCTCTAGCGCAGGAGATGTCTTCAGGGCTGTCACATCTTCTCAAATGACAAAGATTTCAAGAGTCTTAGGATCTTCAATGTCAGTGATGACCACGATTCCACACAACATTCACTTTGATCAGTTCGTCCTCGGAAATGCCAACCTAAGTGCATACGCCCATGTTACATCAGACCTTCCTGTGATGCTGACAGAGTTTGTACAGAGTATGGATTACAGTGGAAACCAGGCATCTGCACCAGCCATGTTGAACCTGCCACCCATGTCCCAATACAGGAACGAATATGCCTTTTATGCTCTGAATACTTCCGTCAGCACTAACAGGTCATTTGATAACTACATTGTCCTCATTAGTCCAGTGGCCAACCGCGATAATATCACATTTGATGGCTCCCCATTGCCTACAATGCAGTGGACACTGGTCACTGCTAGAGGCAGGAATTATAGTGCTGGGTTCTTTAGGATTCAAGCAGGGCATCATATTCTGAAACATCCTGTTAACAATCATTATTTTGGTGCAATACTTTATGGTACTGCTGTGAATGAGTCATACTCCATACCACTTGGGATGAGATTATCAAGGATAAATCAAGTAAGTATAGTTGTATGTTATACAGTCATTATGAGTGTGAAAACTTTATACATTTATGATCAATTCTATGTTTTGCATGAAAGTTTTGAAACCATTTAAATGAAAGTATTATCAAATAAATGGCCAATGAAAGCATATAATTGATGTAATCTTTTCTCCCCCCAGCCATGTGGGTGTTCCCTGTCTGCTACCACTGTCAGCCGTGCTGATGGCATTGACAATGACTGTGATGGTCTGGTGGATGAAGAAAACTGTCAAGATACAAACCTGGGTAGGAACTTTGATTTAACAATTCATATCTGCATCTGTTGGTAGATGGTGGCACATGTTTTTATTAGTGAAATTGATCAAATAATTTGTATAATAAAATAAATAGGGATACAGGTGACATTTAAAAAGATTTACAGAAATTACAGCATAAATATTGATATAAAAAAAGATAATATTTTTAATTTTTAAGTAATCTTTAACTTTAATTTGATTTTTTTACTTTCAGATGAAGATGGTGATGGCCGCCAGAATGAAGATTGTGCTGCACCTATCAAAGGTGTGTGAACTGAGATGTAAATACAGCTCTTCTTAAATGTGTATTAGCAAATTCTTACTGAGAAAGGCCTTGAAACGAAGTTCATGGTAGTATAAATTTGTACCTTATGTTTTGCTATAACTAAAAAAAAGGAATACATATTGATTATGCTTAGTTGTCATTTGACTTTTCTGTATTGGACTTAAATTCCTCACCAAATCACTTACCCCGGCAAACACTAAACTATTTATTTCAGTTGATGGGCAATGGGCAGCATGGTCCTCATGGTCAGCATGCCCAGTGACGTGTGGCACTGGTCAACAGACCAGGACAAGAACCTGTTCTGATCCAGCTCCAGCATTTGGAGGCAGTCGCTGTGCAGGTTCTCTGTTCAGTACACAGACTGAGAGCCAGACATGTGGAGATACCAGCTGCCCAGGTCAGTCTTTGGGTTTGCTCATGGTACTGTTCAGAATTGAAAACATAATCACTTTACATTCCACAGTATTAAGACAGGTCAAGATAGAGATGTACAGTTTGCCAATATGATATTCAGAATACTGTCAATAAGATTTCATAAATTTGTTCAAACAAACAGTGCCACTTTAGTTCACAAGTAAACTGTACACATTTAAATCACGTATGGACCTATCTTCCCTGAATGTTCACAGTAACAAAAGCACCATTTTCTCATCTTTCATGTCATATGGTACATGTGTATTTAATCCGTCTTCCATTAATTATTATAATACATTTCAGTTGATGGAGGTTACAGTCAGTGGAGCAGCTGGAGCACCTGTACTGTCACATGTGAAGGTGGTACTCAGGAAAGGACCAGATCTTGTACAAATCCTGCTCCTGCTAATAATGGCAGTGATTGCTCTGGTCTGGGACCTGCCACAGAAACCCAGCAATGCAACACACAGGGATGTCCAGGTAAGTTTTGAAGTAGGCATGGTAACCTGGTGATGGTGTCTGTACTTGTCAATGAAGATATCAGAATTACAAGTAGACATAGATACAAACATGTACTATATAGAATAAAGAAGTTAGAAGTCACGTAGAAATTGAAATACTGTAGTTTAATAATCATGTAATAACCTGGTTAAGCCTAATGGTAGTTTTAGGAAGTATTTGTTTGAAGTAAATGTACTAATTTTTTAATATGTGGTGTGATGTGATTGTTACTAAGTAAATTATAGTTACTGTTCAGTATTAGGTGACTAAACCTACATTCAATTATAAACTTAAACTAGAAATGTACCACTCCTTGAGCAGCTATAGTAACTATTGCATAGTGGCCAAACTTTTAAAAACTTTCTCTCAAATTTTTGCATGTTTACTAAGTCTACTAAAACCCAATGGCCTGTTAGGAGGCAGGTAACTCTGTGCAGCAAACGATGAGCAACCAGGAAAAAGGAACAGTGCTGCATGTGTTTCACTTGGTATCTTTATATCCCATTAGGGATTTTGTCCATTTCTTCTGTATGTTTATTCATAGTCAATGGTGGGTTAACAAACTGGAGTTCATGGGGCACCTGTAATGTCACCTGTGGTGGAGGGTCCCAGTCAAGAACCAGAACATGTACCAATCCAGTACCACAAAATGGAGGTGCTGATTGTGTGGGAGACAGACTGGAGTTACAACAGTGTAATACTCAGAATTGTCCAGGTGAGAAATGTGCTAAAATAGATTCTCTGAACATTTTCTCAGGTTTGAAAAATTACTGATGTTTTAAAATTGATCTATTCAAAATAATGTCATTCAAGAAAAATACTTCATTATCAAATGTGAGTCTTATTAAATGACATGAGGTTTATTCAATATTACATTTATTGTGTAACAAAATATTTGCATTGTTTTTGCATGAAAAGAAAAAATTAAGATTAACTATGAAATCATGTCAAGCTTGAAGTATATTATGACAAGTTATTATTTTCTATAGTGGATGGTCAGTGGGGTCAGTGGTCGGCCTGGGGAACTTGTTCAGTTTCCTGTGGAGGTGGAGGTCAGCAGACAAGGTCAAGGTCCTGCAATGACCCTGCACCTGCCTTTGGAGGCAACAACTGTCCAGGAGCTCCCCCAGATACTCAAACTGAATCTCAACAGTGCGGCAGCATTTCCTGTATTGNCCTAACTAAAAAAAAAGGAATACATATGGATTATGCTTAGTTGTCATTTGACTTTTCTGTATTGGACTTAAATTCCTCACCAAATCACTTACCCTGGCAAACACTAAACTATTTATTTCAGTTGATGGGCAATGGTCAGCATGGTCCTCATGGTCAGCATGTCCAGTGACATGTGGCACTGGTCAACAGACCAGGACAAGAACCTGTTCTGATCCAGCTCCAGCATTTGGAGGCAGTCGCTGTGCAGGTTCTCTGTTCAGTACACAGACAGAGAGCCAGACATGTGGAGACACCAGCTGCCCAGGTCAGTCTTTGGGTTTTCTCATGGTGCTGTTTAAAATTGAAAACGTAATCACTTTACATTCAACAGTATTAAGACAGGCCAAGATAGAGATGTACAGTTTTCCAATATGAAATTCAGAATGCTGTCAATAAGAAATAGAAATAGGAAATATAGAATATGTTCAAACAAACACTGCCACTTAAGTTCACAAGTAAACTGTACACATTTAAATCACATATGGACCTACTATCTTCCCTGAATGTTCACAGTAACAAAAGCACCATTTTCTCATCTTTCATGTCATATGGCACTTGTGTATTTAGTCTGTCTTCCATTAATTCTTATAATACATTTCAGTTGATGGAGGCTACAGTCAGTGGAGCAGCTGGAGCACCTGTACTGTCACATGTGAAGGTGGTACTCAGGAAAGGACCAGATCTTGTACAAATCCTGCTCCTGCTAATAATGGCAGTGATTGCTCTGGTCTGGGACCTGCCACAGAAACCCAGCAATGCAACACACAGGGATGTCCAGGTAAGTTTTGAAGTAGGCATGGTAACCTGGTGATGGTGTCTGTACTTGTCAATGAAGATATCAGAATTACAAGTAGACATAGATACAAACATGTACTATATAGAATAAAGAAGTTAGAAGTCACGTAGAAATTGAAATACTGTAGTTTAATAATCATGTAATAACCTGGTTTAGCCTAATGGTAGTTTTAGGAAGTATTTGTTTGAAGTAAATGTACTAATTTTTTAATATGTGGTGTGATGTGATTGTTACTAAGTAAATTATAGTTACTGTTCAGTATTAGGTGACTAAACCTACATTCAATTATAAACTTAAACTAGAAATGTACCACTCCTTGAGCAGCTATAGTAACTATTGCATAGTGGCCAAACTTTTAAAAACTTTCTCTCAAATTTTTGCATGTTTACTAAGTCTACTAAAACCCAATGGCCTGTTAGGAGGCAGGTAACTATGTGCAGCAAACGATGAGCAACCAGGAAAAAGGAACAGTGCTGCATGTGTTTCACTTGGTATCTTTATATCCCATTAGGGATTTTGTCCATTTCTTCTGTATGTTTATTCATAGTCAATGGTGGGTTAACAAACTGGAGTTCATGGGGCACCTGTAATGTCACCTGTGGTGGAGGGTCCCAGTCAAGAACCAGAACATGTACCAATCCAGTACCACAAAATGGAGGTGCTGATTGTGTGGGAGACAGACTGGAGTTACAACAGTGTAATACTCAGAATTGTCCAGGTGAGAAATGTGCTAAAATAGATTCTCTGAACATTTTCTCAGGTTTGAAAAATTACTGATGTTTTAAAATTGATCTATTCAAAATAATGTCATTCAAGAAAAATACTTCATTATCAAATGTGAGTCTTATTAAATGACATGAGGTTTATTCAATATTACATTTATTGTTTAACAAAATATTTGCATTGTTTTTGCATGAAAAGAAAAAATTAAGATTAACTATGAAATCATGTCAAGCTTGAAGTATATTATGACAAGTTATTATTTTCTATAGTGGATGGTCAGTGGGGTCAGTGGTCGGCCTGGGGAACTTGTTCAGTTTCCTGTGGAGGTGGAGGTCAGCAGACAAGGTCAAGGTCCTGCAATGACCCTGCACCTGCCTTTGGAGGCAACAACTGTCCAGGAGCTCCCCCAGATACTCAAACTGAATCTCAACAGTGCGGCAGCATTTCCTGTATAGGTATGACCTTGATGTTCTTCTTAAATAGAAAAAGAATCGGGTACAATAAATTATATAAATCAACAGATAATGGAAGATTTTTTTAATGTTGATAAAAAGGATATTTTGAATACCAGTACCTTTAGAGGGACACAATGGGTAGTTGAACTTTATAAAACAAAAATTATTTTTCCTGGAAAATTTCAGCACTGTACCCTTAATCACCAAGGGCCAGTTAAATAAGCTAACTTTTGAAGTTATGAATTATAAATCAATTTGATAATACATTTGATCTTTTATGTAAAGTGTAATTGAATTTTTTTCTGTTTGCCTTTTTAAATAAATTTGAATAACTCATTACAGTCAATGGAGGATTCACAAACTGGAGTTCATGGGGCACCTGTAATGTCACCTGTGGTGGAGGGTCCCAGTCAAGAACCAGGACATGTACCAATCCAGTACCACAAAATGGAGGTGCTGATTGTGTGGGAGATAGACTGGAGTTGCAACAGTGTAATACTCAGGGTTGTCCAGGTAAGGAGACACCACCCTTTTATCCAATTTATTTCAGATTTTCTGTCACAGTATGTTGCTTTATTCAGTATGTTAAGTATGCTAAAATACATTCTATATGATGTACATTTTGAGTCAAACTGTCCATTCTGAAGAGCCATTTTGGCATTGTACAAACTACTTACATTTCAGTGGATGGAGGCTACAGTCAGTGGAGCAGTTGGGGCACTTGTTCTTCTACATGTGGAGGTGGCTCTCAAACAAGAACCAGAACTTGCACAAACCCTACTCCAGCTTTTAATGGCAATGACTGTTCTGGTCTTGGACCTAGCTCAGAAACACAGCAGTGCAACACACAGGGATGTCCAGGTGAGACAGCACTTTAAAAAAAAAATTCAAAAGAAAACTATAAAAATATTTTTAAGATCTAATTTAAGATAATTTTGATTTAATAAAATTCTTCCAGTAACATAGTCATTTGAGTTTAAGATCCACTTTATGAGAAATAAAAGGTTATAAGACTATCTATGACATTTTAATATGATAATGTTTACTCATCTTATTTGTAGTTGATGGTGGGTTAACAAACTGGAGTTCATGGGGCACCTGTAATGTCACCTGTGGTGGAGGGTCCCAGTCAAGAACCAGGACATGTACCAATCCAGTACCACAAAATGGAGGTGCTGATTGTGTGGGAGATAGACTGGAGTTGCAACAGTGTAATACTCAGGGTTGTCCAGGTATGGAGACACTACTCCTTTATGAGATTTATTTCTGTTTTTAAATTGCAGTATATTGTTTTATTCAAAACATTAGGTAAACTTAAATCTGCTCTATTTGATGTACAATTTGATAGTCAAACTGTCCATTCTGAAGAGATTTTTGGCATTGAACAAAACTGCTTATATTTCAGTGGATGGAGGCTACAGTCAGTGGAGCAGTTGGGGCACTTGTTCTTCTACATGTGGAGGTGGCTCTCAGACAAGAACAAGAACTTGCACAAACCCTACTCCAGCTTTTAATGGCAATGACTGTTCTGGTCTTGGCCCTAACTCAGAAACACAGCAGTGCAACACACAGGGATGTCCAGGTGAGACAGCGTTTTTAAAAATACTATTTCAAAACGAGATTCTGATGCAATTTCCTTTCCTTTGCATTTGAAAAAAGAATTTTTGGATTTAATAAAAAATCTTCCAGTAGTACATTTGAATTTGAGCTTAACTGGAAGGGTAGTACAGGATGATCAGGAAATATATGACATTTTTATTTGAACACATCAACACATTTTGTTTCTAGTTGATGGTGGGTTAACAAATTGGAGTTCATGGGGCTCTTGTAATGCCACGTGTGGTAGAGGCTCCCAGTCAAGAACCAGGACATGTACCAATCCAGTACCACAAAATGGAGGTGCTGATTGTGTGGGAGACAGACTGGAGTTACAGCTGTGTAATACTCAGAATTGTCCAGGTAAGAAAATACTTTGATTGGACACTGAGGGTGAGAATTTTATGAGATTAAATTAAGTTTATTGCATATTTAGTTTATAATTCAATAGCATTTGATTTATTGAGTTGAATCTATAAATAACCTGAAGAAGGATTTAAAACAATTCTGTTTAGAAAAACTTGTAATTGATTATTTATCTTACTTGTACGTAACCGATTTTATTTTAGAATCAGGGTTTTTAAATCTTGAATCACAATTTTTTTAATATTTTAGATTTTATATATCTTGATAATTGTCTTAATAAGCTCTGGTCTCTCGTTGTTTTAAAATTTATTTTATCCCAAAGAGGAACATATAAAATCATGATTATGAAAGCATTTGCAAAAACTGAAAGAAAAGACAGAAACAGAGTCCAGATTTGTGAGCCTTTTTTAAGTTTAGACATTTTTTTCTCCAATAGTGGATGGTCAATGGGGTCAGTGGTCAGCATGGGGAACTTGTTCAGTCTCTTGTGGAGGTGGAGGTCAGCAGACAAGGTCAAGGTCCTGCAATGACCCTGCACCTGCCTTTGGAGGCAACAGCTGTCCAGGAGTTCCCCCAGATACTCAGACTGAATCTCAAGAGTGTGGCAACAATCCCTGTATAGGTACAGTAATATCAGCTTGGGTATTGTCATAAGAGAATGTTATACCATTATTACCTGTAGTGTTTGACTACTAAATTTGTACTGATGCAATCTAAATGTATTGTTTTACATAGTAGTTTTGGTTAAGGTGACTTAAACTATTTTTTAATTAACTTTTTCTATCAGCTTTTAATGTGATACCATTTGCCTATTTAAATAAATTGGAAAAACTCATTCCAGTCAATGGTGGGTTAACAAATTGGAGTTCATGGAGCACCTGTAATGTCACCTGTGGTGGAGGCTTCCAGTCAAGAACCAGAACATGTACTAATCCAGTACCACAAAATGGAGGTGCTGATTGTGTGGGAGACAGACTGCAGTTACAACAGTGTAATACTCAGGGTTGTCCAGGTAAGGAAACACCACCCTTTTATTGAATTTATTTCAAATTTTCTATCACAGTATATTGTTTTATTCAATATGTTAAGTATACTAAAATCTGCTCTATTTAATGTACATTTTAAAAGTCCTACTGTCCATGCTAGAGCAACATTTTTGCCATTGTACAAATCTACTTATATTTCAGTGGATGGAGGCTACAGTCAGTGGAGCAGTTGGGGCACTTGTTCTTCTACATGTGGAGGTGGCTCTCAAACAAGAACCAGAACTTGCACAAACCCTACTCCAGCTTTTAATGGCAATGACTGTTCTGGTCTTGGACCTAGCTCAGAAACACAGCAGTGCAACACACAGGGATGTCCAGGTGAGACAGCAACTTTACAAAAATAACTACTCAGAACAAAACTTTAAAAAATACTTTTGTTTGCATTAATCTTAAGAAAATGTGGATTTAATAAAAATCATTCAGTATATATAGCAATTTTAAGTTTAAGATCCACTGGAGGAGAAATAAAAACGTTATAAGACAATCTGTGACATTTTAATAATATGAAAATGTTTACTCGTCTCATTTGTAGTTGATGGAGGATTAACAAATTGGAGTTCATGGGGCTCTTGTAATGCCACCTGTGGTGGAGGCTCCCAGTCAAGAACCAGGACATGTACCAATCCAGTACCACAAAATGGAGGTGCTGATTGTGTGGGAGACAGACTTGAGTTACAACAGTGTAGTACTCAGGGTTGTCCAGGTAAGAAACTTAATTGCTTTAGATTTTCTGAACATTTTCTCAGCTAAAATTAATATATTCCTAAAATGTTATTTAAGAAAAAATTAGTTAAGTGACACAGTAGACCACTGAGGGATGTCCAGTATGCAAGAGTTAATTATTGAAATGTTCAGTGTGAACATGTAATTTATATAATCACCTATGCATCTGGCTTTTACTTTGGGTGCATAAAATTTTGCTTACTTTATATCATGACTTTTGCTGTTCTTGTGCTTGACTTCATGCAAATGTACTAGTATTTGAATGATAATTGGCTGAAGTCATTTTTAAAGTTCTAGTAATTATGATTAATTGTTTCATTTTTAATTGTATTTGATTGTGTAGTTTATATGTAATATTTGTTAACATTGTTATCTTCTTTTATAGGGTTAAGTGAATTTTTTATGTAAGGCAACAAAAGTGTCTTTCATACTGTGATATTTCTTTCTTTAAGTTGGTATGGAAAAAATGTTGAAAAAAGAAACATTTCCCCCTTTTATTATTGCAATTTGAGCAAGGCTTAAGTTATCTTTATTATAATTAATATTTGCCTAAAAGACAATATGCTGGTAAAGCTTCTTTTGTCATTTAAATATATTATTATTTGTTTAATTGAGGAAGATGGTCAAAAATAATGTAAACATTTATGAATTATTCATATTTTAAACATCTTAATTCCATTATTATGTTGGTGATCTTATTTGTGGTGGTGGAATTTGCAAGCTTCTATGAGTAGCTTCATGCTTTATGCCAAATGGATTGCTTAATTAACTGATATGCTATAAGTGCATGATTTGTGTATGCATGAATGCTTGTGAATCAGGGTGCATGCTGTATTATTGTTCAAAGGCATGATTATGTCCATAATTATGTCATATGATCATTAGCTAATTTTCTACTTGTGAATCGCATTGTAACTGTCTTTATTGGTTTGTTCACTGAGTAAAAGATGTTAATGTGGTCTTTGTTAAATTTGTTCTGTCTGTTTGTAACGGTAATATTTGAAACTTTTTTCTGTTACATGTACTTTATGACCTCATCATAAACGATATGAATAATGCTGGGATCAGGCATGCAAGTTACGTATTAATATTTGCTTTTGAGAAATGATATTTAGAATTTTTCTCTTGGTGTCACCTTATCATTAATTACATCTCTAATTTTATGAATTAGTGGATGGGAATTGGGCAGATTTCACCCCCTGGTCATCATGTTCTGTGTCCTGTGGAGGAGGGGTACAGACCAGGAACAGAACATGTACCAACCCAGCACCTGCCAACAGTGGCGCCACCTGCCCAGGTGATGCCTCCGAGTCTCAGCAGTGCAATATAAACCCGTGTCCAAGTAAGTGACATGTTTTCATATATAGGATAAATTTCAGGCCTGCCACAAACTCTCTTACAAATTTGCAAGAGGGAAGTTTACTATGCAAGTGGATTCTTTTTGCAAATTTTCATTTTTTACAAACTTCTTGAGTATGTTTTCCACAAATTATATAGTTTGCAGCCAATTTGCTGTAAACTTTTCATATTGCTAAATTGGTCAGTTAATGATTATAATTATGAATAAAGAAAATGCAAATACATCTTTCACTTGAAATTAAAAAATTCTATAAACTATTCTTTGTCAAAATTACAACTAGCAGAGGAGTATGTTAATTCAGCCTTTTTTCAAAAATTTCTTCCTACTGTTTGTTCTGGATCTGATAATTCTATAAACTGTGTTTTAAAATATCAATATTCCCTTACCTGTTAAAAGTTGATGGTGGCTTCACTGAATGGTCTGCCTGGGGAACATGTGATAGAACATGTGGTGGTGGCACACACAGTCGCAATCGCTCCTGCACCAACCCTGCCCCTCAGTTTGGTGGGCAAAACTGCACGGGGATTGAAGAAGAAAGCAAGGCATGCAATACCAACCCTTGTCCAGGTAATGCTTAATTCAAAATGAATTTATTTACTCCTAAAGTGGAATGCATGGAGTGATATGTTGTATACAATGTTATTGTTTAATATTAGTTGGCTTTATTTTTGGTTATAATTGATTTGATTTGGTTATACTTGATTTAAAGCTATATTGAGTATTGAATTTCTTGTGTAACAGAATCTCTTTTAACAAATATATAGGACAGTTAAAGGTAGGCATGAAAAGTAAATCACCCATTGCTCTTTATAATAATGTATATAATATCACAGTTGATGGTAATTGGGCCCCGTGGGGGATGTGGACTACCTGCAATGTCACGTGTGGAGGCGGCATGCGTGTCAGGTACAGAAACTGTTCCAACCCTGAGCCACAACATGGTGGACAACCTTGTCCTGGCAGTGGTACAGAGACAGATGTGTGTAACTCTCAGCCTTGTCCAAGTAAGTGATTGATTTGATGGGACATTGTTCTGATATTCTGTCAGTTGAATATGAGTGCTTTCGTTTCTATATAAACAATGCAATAAATGTTTGGTACAAGGTTAATAAGCATACAGTCATACAGTTTTGTAATAATCATTACATGGATTCTAATCTAGCCCCACTATCAATAACTGTCATATGGCTACTCTATTGGGTTTCTGCCATGTTGTACTAATCTACCACTTTTGCGGACTACCATTCACATGAATTTTCAGGTGACTCTTTGTTGTCATTATTTCAATAATTGAACAAAGCAAAAATTTATTTTTGTATTACTTTTTGGATTATAAATTAAAGTAGTATAACAACCATCATGTTGTAGTTGTAGAGACTCATTGAATGTCAACTTTTCTATTTGTAGTTGATGGTGGTTACACAGACTGGACCACATGGACTTCCTGCAGCACTACTTGTGGACCTGGAACACAGGAACGCACACGCACATGCACAAACCCAACCCCAGCATTTGGTGGGAGTGATTGTCAAGCTCTTGGGAGTGCTTCAGATAATAAAACATGTAACTTAGTCGGTTGCCCTGGTGAGAACATCTTGTTTGTATTTTTATGTTGGCTATAAGTCTGTTATTTGAAAACAATGTGTACTGTTATTACAATAATACTTAGTTAAATAATTTTGGAACACATTTATTTATAAGTTTTCCTTGCAGTGTTTTGTCTGTATTAAATCTACATGTATGCCCAATAATATAACATTGTGTTAGACAAGAAAAATAATAATAATAATGTAAATATAATTGTGAACTTGTTTATTTATTTATTTATAGTTGATGGTAACTGGTCACCATGGGGTTCTTGGGGTTCATGTAGCAGGACATGTACCCTTGGCAATCTGAAAGGCATCCAAACTCGTCCTAGGACCTGCACAAATCCTGCTCCTCAAAATGGTGGAGCCACCTGTCCCGGCACAGATACAGCACAAAGGTTCTGCAACACAGCTGATTGCCCTGGTAAGGCAAATAATTTCAGTGTCCAATATCTTCTTACTTCAATTTGGTAGGTTGCTTCATTATTACGAAAGACATTATTGCACTAGACATACATGTAGATGCCTTTATTTATATTTTGTTTTCTTGGTTTTTGAAGTGATGGTTGCAGTTTTTGTGATTTTATGTATCTTTATGTGTGTTGACATACTAGATTTTATGTTTTATGACTAGTGAATTTCTGGACAGTAAAGACTTGGGGCTCTTGTAAGTGTCTAAGAACCCTTGACTTGTTCATGCCACAAAAATAAAGGTTCAAGCAGTTTTGCCGATAAGTTAGACCCATTTATGGAACTAAAGTATAACACAAGCCATGTTAGCACTGTGGTATTTAAATGTAGTCTTAGTTATTTAAATCCACACCTATTTCAGTTGATGGCCAGTGGTCTGATTGGACAGACTGGGGGAACTGCAATGCCACCTGTGGAGGGGGCACCCAGAGGAGGGTGCGTTCCTGTAGTCAGCCACAGTTTGGAGGAGTTCAGTGTGTTGGAGCACCTCCATTTGACCAGGAGGAATACCAGAGCTGCAACAACCAACCCTGCCCAGGTATTCATGGGTCTTTTGGCAAGCTTGTTCCATAATTTGTAAACTTCAGTATTATGTGTACCGTAAGTTTCAGATCGGATGCAGGCCAGCTTCTCTATTTTCAAATTTCCACATCTTTTTGCTGAGGGCAAGTGCATGGGTTAATGAAATTCAAATTGGAGATGGTGAGGCTAAAATGTATCAAGTCTGAAGCTTAGGGTATTTTATATCGTATATTGATTGCCCTTGTCGAATAGCTGGCAATAAAAAATTGACATTAGGGATGTAAACAGTGTCAGTAATTTTGGGGGCCAGTTTTGTTTGTGGAATTCTGTGAATTTTGAACCCTGTCATTAAGCAGACAAACTAGGAGACACAGAAAGCATTTTCTGCATAAAACAGCACCATTATTCTGTCTTTTCAAGTGGATGGTAACTGGACGCCATGGGGTGCATGGTCCACATGTCCAGTTACGTGTGGGGGAGGAACACAACAACGACAGAGGACATGCGCCAACCCTACACCTCTCTTTGGTGGTGCCTCTTGCCCTGGTGCCAGCAGCGAGACACAAAACTGTTCTACTGCTTTATGTCCAGGTACAATATTCTCTTATTTGTCTTGGTTGAAAGGATTGTTTATGTTTAATGCCAAATTTTGATGGTGCCACTTTTTTTACTCTTTTGAACAGTTATATATACTTATCTGAATATTCATGCAGCAAGATATATAAATAATCAATTTTAAGAAGTCAACCTTTAAATAGTCAACAAGTAAAATAATCCTTTATTCCTAAAGCATGTTCTAAAAACATTCTTTTACTGTTTATTGTTTAAAAAAATGGTAAATTGCAGTATAATTTTGTATTCAGTGGATGGTGGGTGGTCTTCATGGACGGATTGGGGTGCATGCACAAAGTCTTGTGGGTCTGGTGAACGGTTCCGTTATCGTTACTGCGACAGCCCATCACCACAGAATGGTGGAGCTCTTTGTGCTGGGGCAGCAACTAATACACAGACTGAATCTGAAAGCTGCCAGACTCAACCATGCCCAAGTAAGTAGCTCACTTGTCAGTCAGAGAAGAATATTTTCATCCAAGTTTCCCTATGTTATATATGTTTAAAACTTATTTTGAAAAAATAAAAAAAAAATTGAAAAAATTTATGTTCTTGTAAGTATACATAGTAACTAACAAGTTTACCTTTTATATATATTCTGCAAAATGTATCAAATATATGACAGACATACATTTAATTATATCTGTAAATACCTTCTAGTTGATGGCAACTGGGGATCATGGGGCAATTGGAGCTTGTGTGATGCCACCTGTGGTGGAGGCAATCGCATCAGGACTCGCTCCTGTGACAACCCGGCACCCGATAATAATGGAACATTCTGCATTGGATCTGCAACAGAGAATGAATCCTGTAATAATGCCTCATGCCCAGTTGATGGACAATGGTCCACATGGACACCTTGGTCAGCATGCCCTGTGACCTGTGCAGGTTCACAACAAACTAGGTCACGGTCATGCACAGCTCCTGAGCCAGCATTTGGAGGTTCTCCGTGTCCAGGGGGACAGTACAATGAGACTGAGACCAGAAACTGTAATACAAGTCCATGTCCAAGTAAGTTGGTTTGCAGATCATATACATCTTATTATTGATTTTTCATAGCTAGCAATGACCACAGATAGTCTGATTAGAATAAAACAAAATTTGCTTTTTTGAATTTTTTTTACTATGGTTTATACTGATAAGGAACAGGTGCTTTACTGTGTTATGGTACATGTATATTTATTTTAACAGTTTTGTGGATATGTAATTTTTTTAAAAAATGTGTTATAAATAGGGTATACATAATAGTACTTGGAGGTAGCTAAATTAAATACTGACTGCATTATGTTATCTTTTTATTACCTAAAACGGAAAAGTTGAGTTCTTTTTTCTAAATAAGTTGCTTTACTTTCAATTATCTGTACTATAAGTATTGTGGGTTAACATTTTATAGTAAATGGACAATGGAGTAACTGGGGCTCATGGTCAGACTGCAGCACTACATGTGGTCCAGGCGTCAGGACAAAGACACGCCAGTGCAACAATCCAGCACCACAGTTTGGAGGACAAAGTTGTCCTGGTTCTGGTACAGGGACCGAAGAATGCAATGTGCGGCCATGTCCAGGTTAGGCTGAATTCTTTTAATTTTTAGTTCTTTTTGTTTTCTATTAAGAAGGCAATGTTATGTTTAATGAGAACATATTTGTATTTAAATTATGTGAACTTAACATTTTTGTCCATGCTGAAACTAGGTGGGCTAATCAAAGACACACAGTAGCTTTATAGCAAAATAGGCAGTCACTTAACAACCTCTTGTTATCTGGGTGTGAATGTATGTAATTTTCAGTTGTTTTCTTCTTTGTTTACAGAGGCTCCTGATACCAAGGGATCACACTTTGTCCTGCTGTTCTTAGCTAACAAGATTGTGGGAGGAGTAGACATTGCACCAGAGATCCTCCTCATTAATCCATACTCTGTACCAGTTCAGGTATATACATTTTTTTTCTCAAAATAGTATGGTGAATTAACTACCCATTTATTTAGCAGTGATTTTCAACCCTGTCATTATGTCGCAATACAATCCAGAAACCAGCACTGATACATTTGGAACCGTGAACAGATACTAGAATAATTTGGTAGAAACGTATTCTTGGTTACATTGTCAGAAGTTTGCTGGCCATCAGCTGAGTTGATTCTAAGAGATGGCACTATATTCAATTTTTAAAGTTTGAAGTTCATGTTCTGCCAGCACCTTGATAATTAAGTATAATTTCTATTATGTATATTCATCATTTTATGTTTTAGGCCACCATAACAACTCCAGGAGCCACAGTAGGCCAACAGCCTTATTATATAAATCAGAATGTCAACCTGGCACCTAAGTCAACACAGATTGTACAGGTTCCCAAATCCATACGTCTGTCAGGAACCGAAACTGCTCCAAAAGGCATTCTGGTCACAGCTAGCCAGGAGATAGTTGTCATGGGGATCAACAAGGAGCCAGACTCCACTGATGTGTACACTGGAGTGCCAGATGATGCCATGGGGAAGAGTTTCCGTGCTGTTTGTGCACCACCCACTGGAGATGGATGCCAGATTGCTGGGGTGGCCATGAAACCAGGGACTGTCATCACTGTTACTCTACCACCATCAGCTAAACGAAGACGCAGACGTAGGGACTTGACATTTAATGGACAAACATACTCCCCAGGGGATACCTTCAACTTCACTATTAATGGCTTTGAATCTTTCCAGTTCTCAAGTGGGGATGATTTGACAGGAGTGTTAATTGTCAGCTCTGAACCTATTGCTCTTTTCAGTGGCAATATGCAGACTCAGGTTGGCATAGGTACCTCAACTGACCACGTAACAACACAGGTACCATCACTAAGCACATGGGGGAAACAGTTCATAATTGTACCCATACCAGGGAGAACCATGCACAAAAGAGGAGATATCATCAGAATTATTGCCAGTGAAGATGTAACATCAGTTAATGTAACTAATAATGATGTAGGGACTTTGACCAACACCATTTCACGTGCTGGAAATTTCCTGGAACTCACTATAGGAAATGGAACTGACAACTTGTGCAGTTACATTGAAGCAAACAAAGCAGTCATGGTGGTGCAGATATCAAAGAGTCAGTTTGATGCAAATGAACCTGGAGATGTCTCAATGATTCTCATCCCTCCCATAAAGAAATATCTACCTCAGTATGACTTTACTGCTCTCAATGATGCCAGTAATGGCAACTACACCAGCTATGTCATGGTGGCGGTAGCAGAGAATCAGAAACAGAATCTGTTAATTGATGGCAAGACTTTGAATCCTGGTATTACATGGTGCCCTACCATCCAGGGGACAGGATACACTGGGGCCTCCTTTATGGTGACCAATGAGCAACATTCCATGGTGACCAAAGATCCCACCAAGCCATTTGGTTTGCTTATCTATGGATACAGCAGTGGAGAAAGCTATGGGACTACGGCTGGCATGAGACTGGCACCAATTAATGAAGTAAGTATATTTAATTCATATGTTTTCCTCTTTTTCTTCTTTTTCTTCAGTTTCTGTATTTGACCAAGTACATGCGTTTAAGATATGCCTAAAACTAAGGATAGTTTCACTTTGTATTTTGCTGAAAGATTGGTGACATGTGCTTAATTTGATACCCCTCTTCCTTCCAGCCATGTAATAGAACCAGCCAGTCTGTGGATGATGGTCTGGATAATGACTGTGATGGCAGGATTGATGAAGAACTATGTGGAAATGGAATTGGTATGAACACAAAAATAGCCAGTTATTATTTTAAATATTTCTTTATTGTTTTTTATATTGTTTGTTTATTTAATTCATTGTTTATTCAATAATTTTATTTATTTATTTATTTTAGAGGAGGTATAAACTTTGCTTATGGCTTGTCTGTCTTAGAGGAGAATTATTAAAAATTATTTTTATTTTTCAGATGATGATGGTGATGGAGTGCAGGATGAAGATTGTGTCTCACTGCCAAATGGTATGCATCGCTTGGTGAATTCCATTTGAAGAAATTTATGACGACATACTACAAATCTTTACTTCATATGAGATAATTGTATGTGTTGTGCAATTGTTGTACTGATACTTATTATTGGAATATTAAGAAAGATATAACATGCTACGTTTTTTTCTCACTATAGTTGATGGTAACTGGGCAGCTTGGCAGACGTGGAGTTCCTGCTCTCAGACATGTGACAATGGAACTCGTACACGTACCCGCACATGCAGTGACCCTGCGCCACTGAATAATGGAGCCACGTGCAGTGGATCAGCCAGCGAGGAGGAGACATGCCTGGAAACTTATTGTCCAAGTAAGCTATTTTCACTTGTAGGAAATATCCTATGTAGTTTTTAGCAGAGCACTTGTGGGTGTACTAAAACTACTGGATGATAAGTAAAAAAGCACATTAAATGTTGTTTTCATTTTTTGTCAATTTTGCCTGAGATTACAATGTGCCAAATAAAAGTGATGTCAAGGAAGAGGTTTATATAACTTTTCTTTAATTCCAGTTGCTGGTGGTTTCACTGATTGGTCAATTTGGAGTGTATGCTCTGTAACATGTGGCACTGGCCAGCAGCAGCGCACCAGGACCTGCACAAATCCTGCTCCTCAGTACGGAGGGGCCAACTGCACTGGGAATTTAGTGGAAACTAGGAATTGTGGTGATACTGTGTGTGTTGGTAAGTCTTGACATACTTTTTTCATGTGTGTTGATGGTGCCATAGTATGTAGTTGGTACCATAGTATATTGATGGTTTCATAGTTAAAGTTGTGCTAAATTGGTACAGTGGGTATTAGAAAGACAATGGAAGTCCACTTAGAAAAAAACAGAATGAGTTATCTGTTTCTTATTCATTTCAGAATAAACACATGTATGTTCACTAAAAAGGATATCAGCCATGTAATAAATTTAAAGATTTTTGTGTGTTTTTTCATAATTGTAACAGAAATACTGTTTTTATTCAACAGTTGATGGAAATTGGGGTCCTTGGCTTGCATGGTCAGCTTGTTCAAAGAGCTGTGAATCAGGAACCAGAACAAGGAGCAGAGTGTGTAATAACCCAGCCCCAGCCAATGGTGGAGCCACCTGCCCTGGGGATAGTTCTGAAATGGAGAACTGCAATACACAGCAGTGCATCAGTAAGTGCTGCCCTCTATAGAGGGGAAATTAGATTAACATATAGTAATGTGACCTGATCTTTTGCAGTATTTTTAAACTTACGTATGAAAAGTTCTGAGTAGGTGAAGGGTTACAAGTTTTTTGTAAAAATGATAAGTGCATGTGAAGTATGTTTCCCCTGGAGCACAACACTTGAGCATTGAAAAGACAAGAAAAAGAAAGGCAATGAGTACCATACACTTTTCATTTTCAGTATAAATAACTTTCATAGGTATTTGCTTCAAAATTGTTATTATGGAAATCAATTCTAGGAACCCTAGGAAGCACCTGTACCACAGCAGCTGAGTGTCAGCAGAGTATTGCCAGCAGCACCTGTTCCTCTGGCCAGTGTGCGTGTCTGGCTGGATTCATGCAGACCAGCTCAAACACCTGCATTAGGCGCAAGGTAGATGGGACAAGTCCATGCCAGATGGATGAAGACTGTTACCAAGCTGTGGAAAACAGTGAATGCAGGGCTGTTAACAACACTGGGATCTGCTTCTGTGGCAAGAAATACTACACTGTTGACAAGTTTGATGTTTGTATCCAGAGGCTGATAGACGGAGAGTGCTCCACAAGCCAGGATTGCTCTACTGCCATACCCAACAGCTATTGTGACAGTGGGAAATGCAAGTGTTTGGGCAGCTTCTACTCTTCAGCTAACAACCAGGGCTGTGTTGAGGGTAAGGGACCACTTTGGACAAATACAGGAGCTGATACAATGTACTTAGTTTAAGCCGGCATTGAGCTGTTTGGCTCATCCTTTTAACTCATGAGATTTGATATACTTACATGTAGCAGAGTCAAAACTGCAGCATGGTAAAAATATTTTTTTATACCTCAAATAGAGTCATTAAATAGTTTGTCCAGTGTAATACCTCATTTCAGTTTATATTTTCCACATGTTAAAATTGTGAAGTGTAAAGTAGTAACCTGATTCCTGCAGGTCTGAAGCAATGGCAGATTGCTGCTCTGGTGATTGGGTTGGTGTGCCTGTTCCTACTGTTCCTCATATTCTGTACTTGGTGCTGCTGCTGTCGCCGTAAAGAACCACGAGGAAAGAAACTGACAAATTCCAATTCTGATGTAAGTTGCAGCTGTTATTTTGTCCTCCAAGTTTAGTTTAAGTTGATATCCATGTGTACGTGTGCATGCATGTGTTTCATGTTTCATGATCTATCATATCATTTGAGCAGAATGGCAGGATGGCTAAAGATGCTAATTAAATTTAAAACAATTTTTTATATGCAACATTTTGAACAAATTAAGTGAATTTGACATAGGATATTAATGGAAAAGTATTAAAATATTTAAAAATATTTTTTTGGCTTATTCCTCATATGTAACTTGTCCCTTCTACCTTTAAGAGGACATTACCAGAATTTGCTGAACATAATCTAAACTGTATCAAAACTGCTTCTTTTCCAGGTATCTGTGGGTCCTCCATTACCACGTCAGGTCTCCTTCCCAAATATGCCACTTCCCATGGCTTACAGCAGCCTGCCTCCTGACCCTGCCTACAGACCAGCCAAGCCAGACTATTACATAGCAGTACCTGCTGACGGCCCACTGGCTGATAAAGAAAAGGAAGCCTCCAATATTCCTAGTTCTCGTAACAGCAGGCATAGCTCTCCAAGGAGATAGAAGGTCCATATAGAGTTAATGGAGACTTTTAAGATATTTTGGATATTTTATGAGATTTTTACTTTTGTGAGTGACATGTATAAACTTTATGTCATTTTAAGGCCTACATTATTTTTTTTAGATATACGTAAGCTTAATATATGGTAAATGCATAATGTCATTTGTATGCAATTGCATATTTGTTTATAATTACTTAAATGGAAACATTTACATGTTATGAACTTTTTAACACTTAAGTTATGTGAGAGTAGAGAAAAAGACACTAACAAATTTTGAACAAGACAGCTAGCATTTTTTCTTTAATTGCAATTCATCAAGAGAATGTAATGATCACATGAAAATACTTACAACACCTGAATGCCAGATCAGAAGTTAAAGTTCTGTTTTCCCTTTCAGTGTAGGAAATTGATTGAAAAAAACTTATTTTGGACTGGAAAACAATATATTTTTCCTATTATTTTGTAAAGTTTAAATTGTTTTTGAGAAAATGCTCAAAGTCTGTGATGTTTGGTATTTGATCATAAGGTAGCTGTATTGTAGGACTGCATTGTATATCACTGCATGGTAGGACTGGACTTTAAGTTTGCAATCTAGATGCGAGAAAGAAGTAGAAAGAAATATAATTCACTAATGTTTTTTCATACTTTAATTTTATATTCTTAATATTGCAATATATTAGAAGTTATTAACATATTTTTATATGTATAAATGGCAATAATGTACTGATATCCAGTGATGTGAATAAAGATTAATAAATGAAGTTGTGAAAAATTAAATTAGAAATTTATCATTTATTAATTAAATAATTGTGTTTATTTAGCAGATATTATAATAAAATGGACCATAGGAATAAACTTTTGACTCTCTCTCTCTCTCTCTCTCTCTCTCTCTCTCTCTCTCTCAACGTCTATAACAAATAGAAAACAATTTTGGGATAAGCACCTGTTCATCACGCCCCGGACAGAGATCAATTCCTTAGATGTTAAAACATTGTTTTCGTCATAGTTAATAAACACATATTGGATGTGAAAGGTTCAATTATTTTTAGAGTGTCACACCTTGAATGTAAGTTCTTACTTATGATTACCCCAACCGCGCCTATAAAAACAAGCAATCTTATTATGTCCAAAAGCTGCAATAAAAAAGTGCCCCACCTAAGTTGACATTTTTTTCTTAAGTTGTTATCCCAACGAAGGTAAAATAAAATATACAGTATGAATGAATTGTAGCGTAGATAATCTTATACAGAAAAAGTTGTTTGTTCAGTAGAAATTTACCTAGTTGTATTTTCATCTGTCCCTTTTTGAATAGAAACGAGAAGAAAAGATGCGGGTGAAAGCTCAGTAACCTCAAACTACTTATTTCGATCTGGTGTCTAGGTGAGGAGAATGCACTCATTTTTTTTACCCACGTGATCTAAATAAAATGATTGTACATAAAAGGTGTGTCACACACTAGCGATATCCACCCTATTATAGAATCACAGTAGCCTGGCGTGTTTGCCGACCAACTTTATACAGCACTAGCTGTCAACAATGGGGTTATGGAGTTTTTTAGTACTACCTGTGATGACGATGTTATATTTGATGATAACGACAGGTATGTTGAATGCTTTTTTCAATGCACGGACTTGAAAACACGATTATATGTTCTTCAGGTTTCATACGCTGCTTTCAATCATACTTGGTTCTCGAAACTTCTTGTCTTTTTTCCGCGACCTATACTACCTTTGTCGCATGCACTGGCAACGTTACAACAGACTGAGACTCGGATTACACACAGTTGAACGTAACTTTGACACTCTACTGAGGGAAAGAATTATAAAGGTTGTGTGAAATATCCGGCTGTTGTCGAGATTGCACCGGTGACTAGCATAGTGACAGGTGGTTAAAATATTCATATAAAGGAACAACGTCTGTTGGTGCTGGTTACAATGATTGTTTACATGGTCTGAATCGGTCCATAATTAACCTTATGGTTGAATCTCGTTGAGTATCACATCAATTGATTTTACTACAATATATTATCAAATAAATGCTTTAACTTTCTATTGGAATTCAAGCACGCCGTCTTAACATAAAACCCTCGCCCTTTGTTTGATTAAAAGATTAATATATACACATACAAGGTCACATCCGAATCAGAATCCATCGTGACCATTTTGTCGGAAGGACGATGCACAGACGCAACAATGGAAAAAAAATTGAGCTTTTAATTCTAGCAACTCCTACTATTTGTAATTTATTTAAAAATATGTATGAGAAGAAAACAAAACGTTAATTATGGTTAAAATTGTTATCGTAGAAAAGGGGGCACTTTTTGTTGTCTTGGCTTTTAAGAGACTCGGTGATGGGCGATTCTACAAAAATGTCTCTATGTGATTGGCTTAAATCACTTTTTAAAAACTCTTAATTTCTGTCTACATTTTAAGGTAGTGTAAAACAGCAATGTTATAATTATAGAAACGTTATACTAAATATGAAACTCACTGACATGACTCAAATAGTTACTTTTTTGTGAAATCACCCTAATAATTACAACATAAATATAAGGCAACTTATTAAGTCATCTCATTTTGTTCAGTTGTATTTTCTTGTTCAATGTGATAAGCATCAAAATGCTGCAACAAAACCAGGCTACCTTTGATGTTGATGTACCGGTAATATGAAGTGCAAAAAAGATAAATGAAAAATATTCATGAATAAAAAAAATAAAGATTAAAATAGAAAATGAATAAAATAATGAAAAGATGGTTTAAATAATTGGAAAGATAATGCATATCAGATTTCTCAATTTAACATTATAATTTAACATTAGTCCAGCGAAAAAGAAATATCTGAAACTACAGCATTTGGTTTGTCCTTCGTATGACCGAGTGTACTCTTATCATATTATTTTCTTTTCAGGCAAAAATGTATGGATGAATTTTTCACATATCGCTTCAGCTGTAGGGAGTATGCCTTTGAATTGTCATTATTTTTGCTTTTGTATATTTAAAAATGTTAAAACATTTTTCTTTTGAATGTATACGCAAGTAAACATATTTGGGTGTCCTCCATAAGGAATTCAGCGCACAATACAAGGGTGGAATGATAATTTTGACAGTTTTTACACAGTCATTATTGGTCTTAAGCCCACTATTAAAATAACAGGTTTTGACACCTTAACCAGTAATGTAATGTTATACAAAAAATAATTTTTATAAATAAGGCGTTCCCTACAATTGTGCAACAAGTCAACGCCCATTATACCTTTTTACACGCAAACCCTTCAGGCATCATAGAAGCGGGAGTGTGCGACTACACCCAACGCAACTGAAAGACAGTTTAAAGATCTTTGATCCGTGCATTGTTTTTATGTGCTCCAGTTTAAAAACCTATAGAAACGACCATATTTGTGGTTTCCTTGAAACCACAAATATTAAAGCCTCTATTTGAGATATGAAAACTGGGCAAAAGAAGCCGTTTCTGTTTTGCGGCCTGTCTCATGCCGATCTTCTCCTACACTCTCTACACCTTAACAGTCTTGTCATTGAACTGTAAAGAACAGAGATCTCTTGATTAATTAATTTTTTTCTTTAAAAAAAAACACTTGCTACTATTTCATGCGAAGGGGGTTTAAATAATTGCTCCATTTCACGCGTGCACTACACATCACAAATATTGGCTGTGCTTTATAATATCTCAGTGTCAGAGGGTACCCCATTTGACAGCAGAGGCAGGGAGTTTTATCTGATGTTTATGGAACACAAGGTGACCACTCTACAAAGCTTTGGCGAAATGCTGATCATCACCAATGCTGCTCGTGAACCGGTAACGGTAGGTCAAGATTTGATTTTCTGTTTTATTCCTATGTCAGGCACACTGGTTGCAAGTTTTGTTCGTATAAAGGGTTAATAATACATGTATATTAGTTAATATTATGATGATCATCAATATTTTAATTACCGTTTAAAAACTACCTATGATATGGCAACTGCTTTGAAGATAACACTTATTAGAATTGTTTCAGCACTGTGTCCGTTTTCTTATTTTCAATTTTAAGTGCAATTGTTTAATATCTTATTTTTTAAATAACACAATAATTACTTCACAAGGTGAACATTACGTCCAACCACCCAGGAATCGACACCACCTTCACCATAGCAGTAGACGCACACGAAACCACCAGATTTTCACAGGACCTACGGATGACAGACACCAGGTTGGCTCCAAAGGCTGTCCACGTTGTCTCTACGGGTGACATTGTCGTCCAGGGGGTCAGTAACGAAGACAGGTCCACAGATATGTTCCTTGGACTCCCTCTAGACACATATGGCACCGAATACGTCACGGTGTGTTACTCTCCACCCTATATCGCCTGTCAGTTTGGAGTCGTGGCGACAGAGGACGACACCAATGTCACAATGCATTTTCCTAGTGCGGCGTTCAGCGGGGACCCCTCCTCAGCTTTTCTAAATATTACCGGAGCAGTAATAGCTGGTAACACTGCCACAGTTAACATGATGAAATTTGATTCTTTACAAGTCCAGAGTACAGCTGAGCTGACGGGAACCCTGATAAGGTCCACTGCTCCTGTCAGTGTATTCAGTGGGAATGTGGATACTCAAGTGGCCGTTTCTGTTGGGGGTGCAGTGTCGAAGGACCACCTCGTGCAACAATTACCGCCCGTACAGGCGTTAGGTAAAGAGTTCCTAACTGTTCCAATACCAGAAAAAACGATATTTAAGCGCGGAGACGTGTTCAGGACCGTTACTACCACAAATGATACGGAACTCATTGGGGACATAAACCACAACATTATGAGGATAACAGGTTCTTACAAGTTCACTCAATTCAATCTTGGAGGAACTAATAATTTGTACACGTCTCTAAAAACCACCAACCCCATCATCTTAGCCGAATTCATTCAAAGTCAGTACAACACCATGGAACCCTCAGATCCATCCATGATATACATACCCCCTGTTCAGCAGTTTGAATCAGAGTATATATTCACCGCTCTAACTTCATCACCAAGTTCAGGCAAGCCTTATGTCAACTTATTAATCTTATTGGCCCAAGACAATGACACATCCAACATCTTTTTAGACGGCGTTGCTTTAAACACAGCAAATTTTCCATCACTTGCATGGTATCCAATATCACATACCAATTACTTCGGAGCTTATATAGAAGTACAGAATGGGACCCATAGGTTGTATCATGCTCTACCCAACAGACGGTTTGGCGCTGTCTTGTATGGCAACGTGAAAACAGACACGGTTTCTGGGGAGACCTATGCCACGCCACTTGGGATGAGAGCGAGTAGAATAAACATGGTAAGTGCGAATGTGATTGCAGGGGCTTTTTTTCCATTCAGTTAAATGTATCATAGCCATTGAAATGTTCAACAATAGTCAAAAGTATCGATTCATATACGCTGTACTAGCATAGAAACTTGGCTTGTGGCAGTTTGGATATGTGTGACCAATAATAAATTTTAACTTTTAACGTTGATGCTTTTGGAGGAAAATGACGGAAAGGTGCCCAAGCGATAAAAGTTTCCTCAAGCGAATATCAAAGCCGCCATTCACATTTGAATTGTTGATAGTGTATCTTGGAAAGAATTGGATTCACCAGACCATCTTTATTTCAACAGTCTTTTTACATTTTTATTTTCCAGGCATGCACAGTAACCCCGGACAACTGGTCAGAAACAAGCTATATAGGCGACGGCATTGATAACGATTGCGACGGTGAAGTGGACGAGGAATTTTGTGTCTCTGGGAATACGCAAGGTATCGTTAAAGTATACTGTTTTCTCATTTAAATATCCTCTGAAATAAAGGGCGTTGATTTCTTTTCATATTGAATGTGAATTGGCTGGTCAATGGACTAAAAAAACGAAATGTACCACGTATTTTTCTATTTATTTTTTTCTCTTAGCGGACAGTTTTTTCGTAGACAAAGTTTACAATTTTCTTGCATTCGTAAATACACTGTATTCAGACTGCTCTCAAACAAAGTTGGTTGAAAAACATTTTCGATTTTTGAAATGTTTTAAAACCTATCTGCATATGATTTTAGATGATGACGGCGATGGTCGTGTTAATGAAGACTGTGCAACACCTTACCCAGGTAAAATATGTCGCACATTTACCAATCTAATCACGTAACAAATCCTTGAAGAGAAAATATCCAAATCTTGGACCTTGTTCATTTCGTTTCATAGTTTGGAATTTACCTATCTGCTATTCTTTGGTATCCCAAACCGAAAACAGTTATTTCTTATAAATAGGGATCTTGTCATCACATGCTTGTATGCAATTTTATCCGTTTAACTTCAGTGGATGGTACGTATGGACCATGGGGAGCGTACAGCAGTTGTTCTACAACATGTGGACCCGGAACTCAGTCAAGGACACGTGTCTGTACGTCCAAATATGGCGGTGCTCCTTGTGCCGGGTTGTCCACTGAAACTATATCATGTAACCTAGGAGGCTGTCCGGGTAGGTTGTACAACATATACATATGTGTTCACTATCCAAGGGAACCGCATTGAATCATTTTCAAAAGTTCAAAAATTTCATTCCCCTTTAAGAATCTCTGTAGCAGTCTTTAGGCGACGGGGCCTGTACATTAATATTTCCTTGAAAACTCTCAGTGCATATTTTTATTGCGGTGTCGTGATTCAAAACCTTTAAATTTAACTAAACAACCTTAATATGTTGTCAATGTAAAAACATTGTTAATTGTTGGTTTTAATCACTGATAAAATTAACAAATCTCGGTGAAGGACAGTTTGTTTATCACCATTTCCTTATAATATATACAGACTTGACATTTAATATGGAATATTTTTTCCAAATCATAATTCATCAGTTTTTTTTCTATTTTGCTGACTGATAAATGAAAATAAGGATTAAAATCGTGTTTTAATAACTTTTGATAATCTATTCGATGTCAGTGTGACATCAGTTCATTAACTGAATTCGCCAGTGAAGCATACAAAAATACATTGCCTATTTTAAGTCATACGATAACCACTGAAAGCGATATTTTGGATCTCCATATTTTCCTAATTATTGTCTTTAAAAGAGTTACACGTCCCACAAAGGCCCCCCACGTCAGTGTCTAGTCACAGCAACAGTCGCTGTTACGCTTGACCTCATCTTGCTGCTACCAGAGGTTTCAAGCCGCCAAGTATTCCTTGGGATAGGTTTTTAGAGTTTAATCTGAAATAAAATTCCAGGCAACGGTTAAAACGTGTCTAATTTGTCTCAGTTTTGTTGTAGGACATGCAGGCCGTTGATACGGCGAGTAATGACCTACCGATATATTGTCTATGTGGTTCAATTATGGCGATTTTGATGACCATGGTAGCTACTCATTCCCTTGGTTCTGTAATTTTTTTGCTATTTAAAGTGCTCTGTGTGAACCGGCAATCTCATCGTGCAACCTAAAATTGTTCCTAAGGTGCCCCCTATCAAATGATAGTCAAGTGGTTCCCTGATTATTCTTTTATTTGATCTGGTTCAGGTTTTCATCGATGACTACCATTGGTGTTTTGGCACCAATGTGGTATCCACTCCAAATACTGCCACTGTCAATGACCCTGGTCACTTAAGAAGTGGCACACGATTCGTCGTAGGCCTCTTCAGGATGTCTGTAAACTCAAGTTTAGCGGTACAGGTGAAGTTTGACCCCAATAAAGAAAGACACGCGGTTTCAGTGTTCTACCCAGAAACGGTCATGGTCCCCAATCCATTAGAGTAACAGACTACGCTGCTTTGCTGTTTACAGTGGCTTCCTCAGAGGTCATCTGGTATCTCCACCTGCTGAAACCAGTTTGGTGTTCGTTAAGAGCCTTGAAAAAAGCGTTTTGGTGACAATTTGCCCCTCATTCAAAACAGACTGGGTTGTTTTGGTTTAATTGCAGCAGCATATCCTGAAGGACAGTGAGTCCTGTACCCTGGTGGTAAGACGTCAATTGCATTGGGCGTGGTCTCTGTGTAGGTACATCAGTCTGGGCATTACCCTATAAAACTGTATAGACTATTCCGTTTGATACAATAATCTGTCTGGCAATGTCTGTGCTTTTCGCGCCATTCTGGCACAGCTTAACAATTTTATAAAACACTGCTTAACTCATTTTACGCACTGCACAACCGACCGCTTGCATACAAAATTTCAAATTCTTCTATGCAGTAGTTGCCGATATACGGATACTTTTTTGACAGAACCATGCTTCGCCAAAGCCAAGCTTTGACCAGCCCAAAGGAGCACTGCCCAATTAAATCACTGCATATTACACAAGGCAACAGAGCAACAGACTTGGTAGTCAGTTAATTGGCAGCGACACAAATGACTTCACACTTCTCCAGTCAGATGTCTTATAAGAGATCTGAATTTTTTGAAAAAAGAACGCATTTTTACCTAAGTATACCTTTCAAACTGAAATATTCCATATTAAATGTCAAGTCTGTATATATATATATATATATAAAGTCAGTTAATCAGCAGACTTCACAATTCAATTCATTTTTCAGTTAATGGGGCGTGGGGGCAATGGAGCACTTGGTCAACATGTTCCACCTCGTGTCGCAGTGGTACTTCACAGAGAACAAGACAATGTGACAGTCCCCCGCCCTCAAACGGAGGGTCAGGCTGTAGTGGTAACAGTGTAGAGCCAATTACCTGTAACGCCAACGTCCCCTGTCCAGGTGAATTTTTGTATTGACCGGATGTTAAACTGAGCGGCGTGTAATGTATTTGTTTAATTATCTGTGATGACAAGCGGTTTTGCTCTATCCATAAAACGTATTTGTCAACTGCCAAAGAAAAAAAACGTAAAAACGCTGCGACAATTTCTTACAACGTATGTTCTAATAAATGAGATGACTTTAACACGCTTCGAAAACTAGTTACTTACAAGCATATTGTATTTACGCAAACCTCTTATCCGTCTTTGAAGTTTTGTAGTCATGCTATAGTTGTATATTTGAACTCTTGCAGATCCCGCTGATACCTTAGGTACCGAGTTTTTGCTACTGTTCCAAGAGAACCATATAATCCACAGCCCCGGGCTTCCTCTCAAGGTGTTCATTACTAATCCTAACACTGAGGCGGTTACGGTAAGTGGCATTATGTCTTTTAGCACCTGTCACATTTTCTTAAAAGTGGCATCTAAATGTCAGAGTAGATTATATACCTTTTTTATAAAGGTCCCTATGTCTTTCAACACAAGCCTGTTAACATCCTTTTGAGCGAGTTTTACACGAGCTTAGAAACATTGGGTCAGTTCAAATATGTACCTTGAATAATTAAAGGCCCGTGAAAACAATATATGATTCGACATATTTATCTTATTAAGGTTACAATCGATACTCCAGCGGCCACGGGTCTAACTTACTACCACAGTGTCACATTTTCCATCCCACCTTCATCTTCCACAGTCAAGCTCCTCAGCAATGAGCTTCGTATGACAGGAAGTACCAAAAGTAAAAAAGGCATACGTGTGTCTTCCACAAAAGACGTGACAGTAGCCGGAATGAATAAAGAGTACCTATCAACAGACAGTTTTGTTGTAATACCGACCGATCATCTTGGAACGAAGCATTTTGGAATCTGTGCCTTTCCTACTGGCCGAGGTTGCCAGATTGGAATCACAACAAAATTAGATAACACCCATGTAAACATAACTCTGCCACCGTCACCTAACATCGTGTCCGGTCGAAAGCGGAGAGCCACGACATACGATGGAATCACGAAATCCCCTGGTGACGTCATCAGCGTCTCACTAGGCCCGTACGAATCCGTTCAGATCCAAAGTGGTGACGATCTGTCGGGTGCCAGAATAGACTCAGACAATCCAGTCGCTGTCTTCAGCGGAAATGTTCAAGTACAGATTGGCTTAGGCACTGCACAGGACCACGCCGTTGATCAGATATTACCCACTGAAACTTGGGGTAAGAAGTTTGTTACCGTTCCTATCCCTGAGCGCACGATCTACAAGCCTGGAGACATGTTTAAAATTATTGGTAGCCAGTCAAACACCACTGTGGACGTGATCCATATGGCTGATGTTAGGAGATACACTATCCCCAACGAAGGGGACGTTTTGCAGATTATTACTGGAGCTGGTTTAGACTCAGTTTGCAGTTACATAGAGACAGACAAACCTGTTCTAGTGACACAAATTGTTCAGAGTCAGATTGGCACCAACGAACCGTCCGACCCGTCGCTCATTATAGTGCCTTCCGTAGAGCAATGGCTACCAATGTATTCCTTTACTTTACCCGACATGGACAATGGGACTGCTTACACAAACTTTGTCATGATTGCGGTTGAAAAATCACAGAAAAACAACATCTTGCTTGACGGAGCAACGCTTCCTTCTGGGTTAGATTGGTGTGATATACCTACCACCGAGTACACAGGGACGTCACTGCGAGTTCCCGCCGGATACCACCAGATGCGGAACATCTATTTGAACAAGCCTTTCGCACTTTTGTTGTATGGCGTGGGTAATTCTTCTGAGAGCTTTGGGTATCCAGCAGGGATGAGGCTAACTGATCTTACGGTAATGCTAAAATGCTGCTTATATATTGGATTTAATACATTGCAGCTTTTGAAATTGCTTCATTTTAAAATGTATGGCGTGGGTAATTCTTCTGAGAGCTTTGGGAATCTGGCAGGGATGAGGGTAACGAATCTTACAGTAATGCTAATAATAAGGATTATATATTGTATTTAATACATTGCAGCTTTTGAAATTCTATCGTTCTAAAATGACAATAATATTTAGTTTATAACCGTGTTGGAAGTATATTGAATCTCCCTCTGAAGAAATATTTTATTCCAGACATGCACACCGTTCACCCAGACAGCAGAGGGGGATAATAAAGATAACGACTGCGATGGTTTGGTGGACGAAGAAATTTGCGGCGACTCCATAGGTTCAAATAGAATTGAACACATTGATAAATATATTTCCCATATATATATCTATTAGGGATATATCTTACTGATCCATTTTCAGTTGTTTTATTTTCAGAAAGTGTAACATTATCATTGTATCTAAAGTATTTATATTTGTATAAAAAACAATTTGTCATTCTTACAAATTAATTCATTTTCAACATTTCGTGAGGGGGTGTTGTAATATACTCCCTTTTTATCTATATTGTGTAGATAACGACGGGGATGGGTTTAGTGACGAGGACTGCGCCCTGAAATTAAAAGGTAGGTATAAAATTGTTTACAAAGCTATATATATTATCTGTTTTTGAAAGTTATTGTTTACGTATAAACACAATACGTCCGACACTGTCTGTTCATTTTATTTTGATAAAACTCAAAAGCTATTTTCGACGAAAAGGGAGAATACAAACTCGGTGCTAACATGAGTCTATAAATCATCTTCATCTAGTGAATGGGAACTGGGGAGCTTGGAGTGTTTGTGGCGCATGCTCTGTCACGTGCGGTAATGGTACATGCACGCGCACAAGGCAGTGTGACAGCCCAGCCCCTGTGTTCAGCGGTGATCCGTGCCCAGGTGCCAGTACGGACTCTCAAGTGTGTGTTGCCAGCCCATGCCCAGGTGTGTTTTAATGTGTTGCGGCTTACGTACTGTGCATTAACTTTGGCAATTTTAAAAATCTTTTAAAAATCAGGTCTGTACTGTGAAAAAACCCAAGTTTTTACAAATGTCTGAAAATGTCTGATTTACATGTAATATTCTTTCGTTTTTCTCTCCTCAGTGGACGGTGTGTGGTCGGCATACAGTCCCTGGGGTCAGTGTACCAAGACGTGTGGCACTGGAACCCAGACGCGGACCAGAACGTGCACCCCTCCACAGCACGGCGGGGTGGATTGTGTTGGAAACGCCACAGAGTCTAGGGAGTGCAACACACAGGCGTGCCCAGGTGATATATATCGTTTTGTCAGTTCTTTCTGTACTTTGTACCAGACAGGTAATACAATAACTCAGCATAATATAAGAGAGATTCGCAAAGTTCTTTTTTTAAATGGAAGGAAAAATCACGTTTCAAATATGCACTACTTGTATTTTTTTATAGTAAACGGTGTACTAGGCCCTTGGAGTAACTGGAACCAGTGCTCCGTGACATGTGGAATTGGCACGAGAGCCAGATCGCGCACCTGCACACCACCACAAGGCGGGGGAGCAAACTGTGTCGGGCAACTCCGAGAGGTAGAAGGCTGCACGGCGTCTTGTCTCAGTGAGTGCCTCAGTCACTTCAACGACCGAAGTGTCTTCTTTTGTCGCAGCACATTTAAATCAATCAGATAATATTTATTAGTTCTAGCCCACGTTAAATTAATTGATATTAATTGGTTCTAGTACGTTTTTACAATGTTATGCAACTACATGTACATATATGAACACGGAAGACTGCAAAACATGTAGCATTGAAATTGTTTCGAAATGCAAATAAAATTTGTTTAAATACTCAGCAGGTGACTTTTTTTGTAAGTCTTGAGCCCCAACCTGAGTCATGCTAAGTGATGAAACATATGTATTTTGGAGTTTCACGTGTGATAAATGTTTCACGCCACCGTCAGCTTAATTATAGCCTTCATTACTGAGAATCTACCTACATGCTGCTTTGCTTAAACTGTCACATTGCTTGCATTTCGTCTTGCTCCTAGTAACGCTTTACGTAAAGTAGTATGGTCAGGTGAGTTATATCAGGTGTTGAGGGATGGGGCCCATGTTTCACACAAATAGAAATTATCCAATCCAAACATTTTCTTCCTTGGCTACGGATGTCATTTTAATAGTTCGTCTCTAAGAAATGAAAAATTAGGAAGATCTTGATTGTATTAAAAAAATAATTTGTTTTTAAGTATACAAACCCTACTCCCTCTAGGTGCTCTAGGTCAGAATTGCACAGAGACCAGTCAATGCTCCAGAAGTGTTCCAAACAGCGAGTGCGTGCAGAGCACGTGCAGGTGTGTTATGGGCTACCAACAAACTGGTCAGGAATGCATTAGGAGACGAATTGAAAGCGCCTGTACTACGAACCAGGACTGCTCCTCAGCGGTGACCAATAGCGAGTGTGTGAACAACGTATGCGCTTGCAATCCTGGGTTTTACAGTACCAATGCAAGAACCACCTGCCTAGGGCGCCGTATTGGAGACAGTTGTACCAATGATGTGGAATGTAGTAGATTGATCGAGAATTCAGCGTGCTATGAGAGGAAATGTGGCTGTATTGCTACTTACTATGCAAGTGATGACAATTCACAATGCTTAAGACGTAAGTGACTATTCAATACATCGCCTGTTAAAAGTTAGTCTTGTTCTCTTCAATAAAAAATTAATTTCAATTCAGGGTGAATGAACACATGCTCACCAAAAGTAACTACTGGTCCAAAGCGATAGCAATGTCTTTTTTTTTTTTTTTTTTTTGTTGTTATAAATCGAGCGCAATCTTTCTGTCAACTAACTTAACTAGGGTGAGAGTAGTCTAAAATGTTGGTCTAAAGTTCTCTTTTCAAATGTGATCCTGTGCAGGTGAACGTGAAATAACTTTAAAAGCGAGCATTTCATTAAAACATTTAAAGATTTTAATGACCTCCTAAACAGAAGTTGTAAACTGTGACAAAATTTCGTTTTCAATAAATTAGCTTAAGTGGAGTAATTTTTTATTTTGTTATGTGCAAGTTGGTGCATATTTGTTCAATTGTTTTAAATAAATAAAACTATTAAATTTAAAATTTTAAAGTTTGAATGATTTCATTTCAGGATTGAGAGATTGGGAAATCGCCCTGATAGCCCTGGGAGCTTTACTTTTCCTTGTGCTCCTTGCTCTTTTAATCTGCTGCTGTTGCTTCATCCCGTGGTGGGGTCGCAGGGGAAATAAGGTTAGTAAGCCGTAAGGTAAAATATGCTTTTAATGTAGAAACATAAATTAAGTTTTGTAAATAATAACTTTCATATGGTTAAGATACAAGGCATGTTTAATATTTTATTTAAGTTGATTTTAATCTTAAAAGTTTTATCAAAATAAATTAAAGGGGAGGGGGCGGATTCATTGAAATGGGCCGATTACAGCGGGCGGAACACAACGCACTAAATTATAGATTACCCAAAATTAATAAAAAAAAGATGTAACTTACAATCCCACCCTTACATCAACGGTGTATGTTACATATGCTGTGATAATTCCTATAAAACTTGAAATAATTACAAGTATATCATCATGAAATACTGACTTATATAATCAAAATAGGCACTTTGGCGAAAGACCCTGGACGTTTAGACTTGTTGGATAAGGTTAACTAGACAAGGGTTTTACATTAACATCTAAACCTGTACCAAGTATGAAGATTTGGCACGATTTTTTTTCAGAAAAAGCAGAAAACACGCAAGCCCCTCCATCCTCCCGAGCCACGCTATGTTGCGGGTCCAGTCCCAGCCCTTGCTCCACCTCCTCTCATGGCCACAATGGCTCCGGCGGCACTGATGGTACCTTACGCGCCCCCATCGCCACTGCCGGAAGCCAGACGGAAATCTCCGTCAGATGTCTTCGTCGCAGTTCCAGATCACTTCGTCGCCATTCGCAAAGTAAATGGGCGTTTGGCACTTGCGCGGGTGGAAGCGGCTGATTATCTGAATCATAGAATCATGGTGAACTTCTTATCTCCAATCCCCGAGGCTGACAATATGTTTGAGCTGGATCCAAAGAAGGAAATTGTGTCAGATTCTGATGTTGCGCACTATCCTATGAAGGTTGTGCGCCGCGGAGAAAACTTTCAATTAGTAACTAAAGAAATTTAAATAACTCACTGCTGATGTCTTGATATGTATAGTGGTTCAAATATATTATATAGGCCAAAAACATCATGAAGCGCATATAGGCTTTTCGTGGCATCTTATGTGAAGATGGTGAAAAAGTAAATTGCTTATGAAAAGACGAAGCCATGTGTTTCTATAGATCTGAGTAAGTCAAGTGATCTTAGCTATTTGATGAATGGTAAAACTCCCTTTAGAAACGACTTACTATTTTACTAACGGCCTTCACCGATATATGTCTATAATTTCATAGGCAGCCAAGGACATCAAGTTTGGCCTTTTTGAGTTAAAACTCCACAAATCCCGGGTAATGAGGTTGCGAACCTTACTGTGCTCAAAAGTGTATAGATATATTGTTTGACTTAACATAAAAACAGGATCAAACATGATAACAATATTACTCGGACCTTAAATGTACCGAATGCGTGTAACCAATGAACTTAAATCATACCGATGGAATGATTTGGGACAATGGCAATGGCTTGCAAACTGCACATTTTTTTCAGCAGATACAAGAATAGCGGTCTAGAATTTAGTTTAGCCACAGAAGTATCAATCGCTTATATATGATATTTATATTTTCCATTGCACTTCCCATTATGGCATTAGAAAGCTGGCTAAACGTTAGGAACATACTGATAGGCCAACGCTCCGATGAGAAATTTTGGCAGAGAGATGTGAGTGCCAACTATACGCATACTCACCATGTAATAAGAAAGCATATCTCAAATTCAAGAACATGAGTCAATGAAAAATAACCATTTATTACATTAATCACCGTAAAACGGTCACTTTATTCATATTCGATAAGAAATGCACATAGTTTAGCTGCATAAGTCTTAATAATAACAACATTTGATTTAGGTTTAAAGTTTGTAATAGCACTGGTCATTACAGGAAATAAATGGTTAAGTACTACACAATGTAATACAGCAGTCTTCAGTGTTCTCAAAAGTTCTATATGCTCATAAGTTTAGTCAATATTTGCATAATTGTTGTCGCAACGTTGATCAGTATTTCTTCAGGCACATGCAGTTCTGGCTCTATTTTCCTGATTAAGGATGAATGATTTACACTGTCAAATTAATTGCATGAAATATAAAGAAAATAAACTGATCAGATCAGAATTATGCAGACCTGACACAGCATATTCCTGAGAACTACAGCAATGTCCGATGGGATGCACATTATTC